CCTAGTAGCGATGCCAGGAGCCCCTAGTAGCGTCCTTGCTCCTAGTACTAAGGCCAGGAGCCCCTAGCGTCCTTGCTCCTAGTAGTAAGGCCTTGGTCCGTAGGTTGCTTGGTTTACAGCGCATGCTAAATTGGTAAGGATCATCACATAATATAAGACTAGGCTCGTTCAGAAGGCAATGGGTGTCCCCGACACCCACGATTTCCAACGCTCTCGCTGCCAACTTATGGTGCCAAGTTGTCACACATGCATCGGCCGCCATTGGCAAAGTTAGAGTTCAGTACCCACGCCCCGCTACACACGTCAGATTATGTTAGGTTCAGCCTACAATGTACTGCAGGAGATCTGGGGCTGACAACAGCGTAGTGCACTTGACGTTGCCAAAATGACTGTTGAACCTGTGCTTGGCTGGCGGGAGGGCGAATCAATCCAGTTCTTGCATGGCAACAGTGAACTCACGTACAAGAATAGACTGCGCAAGTCAAGGAAACACAAGTTCCAACCCAAAAATCTCCTGGAGATGCAGGGCAATACTATGTTGAAGCAGTAGATGGCGCAAATCATTTACTCCGGATGGGGGCAAATGCATGATGGTCAAAAATTGGGTTGCGCCATCTACCCTCATGTAAAACAGGCCTATTTTACATAGTGGTGGATGGCTCAACCAGGGGGTGGTTCATAGTACCTTTGTGTTCACCTGTTGTTCATCTACTTTCCTTTTCCTCCTTTTCACTTTCCATTCCTTTCCTTCTCCTGTCCATGTGCTTTCCCTCTCCTTTCCTTTTGTTTCCTTTCCTTGACTTCTCCTGTCCCTCTCTGTTCCTTTCCCCTTCTTTTCCCTTTCCCTTCCTTTATTCCATTGATCTATTTTCACATAGGGGCAATAGATGGCGCAACTCATAGACCAAAAAATAGATCCGTGAACCAATAGACCAATAGATGGCGCAACTCATTTCGGTTTGCTTCCCTTTTTCCTTCCTTTCCTTTTGTTTCCTTCATTGTCCCTTTCACTCCTCTCCTCTCCTCTCCTCTCCTCTCCTCTCCTCTCCTCTCCTTCTCTTGCCTTTCCTTCACTTTTCCTTTCCCTTTCCGTTCCTTGTCCTTTCCCTTTCCGTTCCTTGTCCTTTCCCTTTCCTTTTTTTCCTGGATTTGTCCCTTCCCTCTCCTCCTTCCCTTTTCCTTTCCTGCGCTTTCTGCTTCATGCAGTATAGCATTTCCTGCGCTTTCCTCTCCAACTTCATGCAGTACAGCATCAGTGGTGAGATTTGCAGAGTTGAAGCCTACTGTATGCATTGATTGGCATTGCGCCATCTGTGGTTCTGACATAAAGCCCCCACACGCAAATAAAAGATGACAAAATGGCGAGATCTTGGACCATAATTGCGGTAGTTTTCCAGGGTTTTTGGACTTGTAGATGGCGCAACAGTGCGTTGCCCTTTGGAGTTCTAAGATGAAGCAACAAAAAAAGACACGCCATCAATTTTCACCCCGGAGTAGGTCACTTCACCTCTCTTGGGTGTGGAGCTGTGGGCTGGAAGAGCTTGTCCTGCGATGCGTTGAGGGGACAAGCTGGAGAAGTCTGTTTCAACAGAAGCGATCAACGAAGTGAAAACACCAAATCAACAACAACGAAACAATGGGACATGCTTTACTAGATTGCGTGCAGGTACTTGATGGCCTGCAGAACTGCGAATCCCAGGTCCTAAGTGCAAGTTACGGTATAATACGGTAAATGATTAGTACCCCCCAACTAACAGGATGCTAATAACCCTCTGCTAACCAGACTTGGATGGGGTAACCAATCCCGACAGGTTTTTGCAGGTTATCCACTTTTCGGTAGGTCTCTGCCAAGCTTCTCTTCTGGATCTTTTCGGCTCCACCTCCTCCTCCTCGTCCTCATCCATCTTCACATCCGTCAGATCCTGCGATCGCCGCGCGCGGGAAACAGGACACCTGGCTTGACCCGTTTTTCAACGAACAAAGGCCATCCAATGCCTCTAAGCCCTAGAGATCCACTTGTACCTTCTCAGAAGGTGATTGGAGGCACTGTTATGTGGGTTTGGAGGGTCCAAGTACCTTCTGAGAAGGTACTCGGATCCCTAGGGAAGGGATGTCAACCTACATACCATTGGTTTGGTGGTGCCATGACTCACAACCTGAAATATATAGTCGTCTGGCCGGGAAACCAGCCACCTTTGTGTCCATCATCCAGTAGGCTGACATGTTCAACACCTCGACACCCGCAGAAGAACAAAGGTGAGAAGGGTATATTGAACCCAATCCACAAATCTTGCCAGTCCCGAACAGGGAGTTTGTGGATGTGTATTTGATAGGGAGACCACAGGCCCAATGGCCAATGGGTTTTGGTTGATTTTCCTTCTTCCAGCGGATCAAACTGGGAGGTCTCCCTACTAAACACCGGAATCTTCTCACAGAATCACAATGCAAATGTGCCTTTAAAGTCGTTAGCCATCATGTTTGAAAGGCTGAAAACTCCTTCTGCCGCCGTTGGGACTTGTAGAGATCTCTATCCTTGGAGATATATGGAGGTAGGGTCCTTGAACAACTTGTTGCCGATAGTTCTTGCACTGTCGCAGGTATAATATCACTATGGATCCACATACCTTCTCAGAAGCTACTTGGATCCTCAAAACCTACATAACAGTGTCTCCAATCACCTTGTGAGAAGGTACAACTGGATCCATAGGGATTAGGGATGGTAATAATACATATTATATTTCATCCAAAGGTGTGGTGAACTTGAGCCGTTTCTTTCTGTCCAACGATGCTTCCTTCCTGGTAAGGAATTCTGGACAGCAGCTGCTCCAGCTGTTTCTTTTCCGGAACTTCAGGTCAACTTCAGTGCTTCGTGAACTCCACTACAGACACCATCCACATCCTGGACACCACTTCAAGTTCACTTCCTGAACATTCTCTCTCCATCTACTTTCCATCCACTCAGAGTGGCCAGGCTTTCCGTGAACATCTGACCGCTCTTTTCCACCTGTGCTCCGCCCTGAGCGTCGAAGAACTGGAGCTTTTCGGCCAATCGAAGAGCTCCTGGAGAGCCATTCGCGACCGCCAGTGGAGCTCCATCACTCTCCTCTCGTGCTCCAGGTCTGTGCATTGAAGACCTCCAGTGATTTCGATGTTCCACCTGGTCTTGCGGAACCTTCACTTCGCTTTTCCACGCCTCCCCCTGCTGGATGAGCTGATGATAGCGGTGACGAGGCATTCGGAAGGCCTCGTCTTCAGGTCGGAGAAAAGGTCAGAAATCCTCCGATCTGCTCCCGCAAGCTGCTGACCATCACCCCAAACACACCCCGGCACCACCCAATGTAATTACACTCAGTATGGTATGGTATGACGCCCCAGAAAGACCCCTGAAATCCACCGGGCCCCAATAGGCGATACATGGATGGTCTGGGTCAGTCTTTGAAGAGGTTCGACTGAGAAACAACATTCGAGTCCTTCATAGCTTAAGCCTTCTGAGATGCTGAGCTGAGGTTCCAGAACCAGCGCGCATGAGAAAGTGTGAACTGGAGAACATGGAGGTGTTTTTTCATCTCCAGGACCTGAACTTGTTTTTAATCTCAAGAAGCCAGGTGTTTCACCCCCCTCACTGAAGCAAAAAAACATCGAGACCGCGGAAGGTTCCGCGTGCATGTCGCGTGTGTTCCGCGTGCCTCGAGCTGCAGATTGTTCAGCTCCTAGCCCCCCCGGGGAAACGGTGTGGTTTTTTGTTTTTGTTTTTCCGGGATGGTGGGGCTGGGGACTCCTCAAGTGAATCGATGTGGTAAGCAGTGGAAGACGATCTTGGATTTGCTGAATTGAGGAACCAACCTTGAAACAAAAATAAAGGTATTCACCAGAAGAAATTTCACCACAGGGATTGTTTGTGACATATTTCTTGACACCTTAAGCAAAACCAGGAGTGAGAAGATGAGGTTCTGAACACCAAACCCTAAGACCGGTTCGGTTCTTGTCTTCCACAGGTTTATGTCCAACAACCCCAACATGGAGTTTATCTATAATAGCCGGGTTGTCCCTTATAATACCTTGAGTCAAAGCGGAAAACGACCTCCTACATCAAATCGGGGTCATATCAAGCTCATACCCACGGGCACCAAGCTCATACCCATGGCGACTGGGAATCCAAGGTCCATGGGAGTTTTTTCTGGACAAGCTCTCCTCTGACTCTCAGTTCTTCAATTTCATGCGGGTGGGAGTTATCCAGTCAGGAAAGTCCTGCGGCTGCTGAAGCATCTCCACTGAAACCCTCTGCTCAAGCTTATGCTCCCAAACACGTGGGTCTCCTCCACCACCATCTGCGCAAAGAACATGGCTTGCTGACGCATCTCCCACACCGCGCCCACACACTCGCAGAAGGCTTCAGCCTCGCAGATTCGATTCCAACTCCGTGTCGGCACACAGGTTGACCCTGGTAGGTTGACTTCGTCTGTGGCAAGGGTTCCGGCGTTGAAGCACAGCGCATCCCCACAGCGCTTTTTAAGCACGAAACAGGAACTTCGAGGTCACCCGTGTCTTTCTTTCTCCCAAGCACCACCGACTGGGATCCACCCCAAACGCCGGTTTGACCATCCCAATCACCACAAGGTGCCCGAGCCCGAGCGCCACGGAAAGGTACACAGAACCGACTCCCGAATCCGCACCGTGGTTCCCTCGTACCGTCGAATTCGCTTTGACTCTGAAAGCGGGTGGGACACCCCAAGAGAAAACCCACCAAGCACACCGTGCTCTCTAACACCTATCTAAAACGAACCCCAAGCGCAGAACCGCACCTCCAAGGCGACCAGCCTGCCGATCTCACGTGCCAACAATTCTCCCATGTAAAGCCACGGCGTCCTGGGAGTGGCGGAGGCTGCCGAGCGAAGCTGATGAAGAACCCAAGATCTGCAGCGGGGTGGAAGGGTGAGGGTCGGGTGTGCGAAAGTCAGGCTGCGTAAGTCGGGGATGACGTGAATGTTCAACGGTCACGAGACTACCTAGCCCTAGGGATCCAGTCCTACCTTCTCAGGTACGGTGATTGGAGGCACTGTTATGTAGGTGCCAGGAGGGTCTACCTTCTGAGAAGGTACTTGGATCCCTAGGGTAGGATAGTTTTTGAATGTTTTTGCTGGGGAATTCTGAAGTTTGGGATGATCCATCGTGCCGGCCCCAAAAGCGGGACACTTTGTGGATGAAAGCGACCGAGCCCATGTTTAAGGGAGTTCAGGGCATGTCAGAAGGGGTGAAGCAAATTGGTCTGAAAAAGTCTTGGAACCTAAAACTATAGAACCCATATATCACATGGTCCATGGCCCGTATGCTAGGGGATGTCCAGGTGGTGCTCATGTCCGTTTTTTGCACGTGTGCATGGACCAGTTGTGGAATGGATGGATGAGTCGATTCTAAGCCCATCAAGTGTCTGGGTATCCCTTGAAACGTTGAGTCGAAACGTTGGAGGTGAGTGATTTTCGTACGGATCCATGTCGAAATTGGTGGACCCTGAAAGGCCAAAGGTGCCAAAGGCCCAAAATGGCCAAAGGACATCTGAGAAAGGGAGGGTCCCTGAAGATTTTCTGGGGAACTGAGGGTTTTCTGATCAGTCTTCATGTCTCTTCAGGGTCTGCTCTACATGTCCCCCAGGGCTCCAAGTACCTCCTCAGAAGGTATTTGGACCCTCCTGGCACCTTCCCCAAACACCTTGTCAGGTGCTTGGAGTTCATGTCGAACTCATTGTCGAACTCCACAGCCGACACAAACTGGCGGGACAATAGCAAATCCCTCCAAAATGCAGGAGACCAACCGTACCAACCGCACCCCGTACCAACGGCCGCTCCGGCCCGTACACCCGTCGACCTGGGAACTGTGGGGGTCGATCTGGGACGGACGAGAAAGGTGACCGAGGACGGCGCCATAAGCAATAGTCCCCGATCCAATGATGGCCGCCTCCCCGCGAAACAATGAGGCGGACTGTCCGGCGCGGACTGTCCGGCTGGGCAAAAAGGGGCAAACAATGGGTGTTCCCCTTTGTGTTGTGTTTTTGGATGTGTGCTTTCAAGAAGGCAAAACCTGGGTGCGGGCAGGCAGGTGTCCCAAGGTTCAAGAATTGATAGAGTTGTGAGTTTGGAAGTTCACCACCCCCCTGCCAAATGCCCTCTGCTTTGGAAACATAAGCCAGTGGAAAAATAATTGTGAGTGTTGTAAGATGTTGTAATTAAGGTAAGTAAGGGTTGCGTGGGCGAAGAAAATCTGCCACAAGGTGAACATTTGAGGAAATCAATATCCTGAACAGTTCCAGAGTAGTGGAACCACTTTGGGACTTTGGGTCGCCATCTGCATGATCCTGTGGATGAACAGTATGCTTCGCCATCTCGACTGTCAGTTCCGCAGGTTGGGTCTTGACCTTGGCTCCGTTTTGGTGGCGCCTGTGGCCCCCCAGCTCCACCAGGAGTGAAATGGAATCTACGAAATGCACGAAACTCAGTTGCTCACGACACGACCCGACGCTTTGAACCGACACATCCCGACACGTTCTTCTCAAGACCCTATGGATTCAAAACCATCTTACATCTCCCTAGAACCTGATTGACCCCTGTTTTGGAGCGAAAACATGGTCTTTTCCTATCAACACAAAGGTCACATTGGGTTCTATCTCTTCTCTATTTGGTGCACCGGGTTCAGCGCTCCGGCGAAACGAACATGTAAGACCTGGACCCGACGCAAAACGACCACAACAAAGTGAACCCAACGGTCTGTCTATATATAGCTTGTGAATTGCATACGTTACGTTACGTTCAATTCGCTGTGAAGTCTGAGCTGCCTTCCCAGGTTTCTTGTGCTGGACCTTGAGACATCGCGTAGGATTTGCATCAGGAGCATCGAGCGTGAGATGTCAATACCCAAACACTCCATGGGACTGGCATATTTACATACATTGACCCCTGAAACCACCCCAATGTGATATATCTACATGGAGTGTTTGGGTCAAGAACCATGAGTGATATACATTTCACATACATTGACGCCAATGTAGGTAAAGATGCCATACATGGAGTGATATCTCTGGGGTTCGAAGAACCTCCGTTCGAGCGGTGGGACTGCGCCCAACCGCAGGATTGGAGAGTCATGTGTCTAACTGAGTGGTGACTCTCACTGGGTGACTCTCAACGGGTGCTTTGAATTGACTCTCAGTTTGTGACTCTCACTTGGTACTTGTATATATTTGTGTGTTTAACTGGTTCTCACTTGGTCTTTTCCGAACCCCACAGGATTGCTAGGTCGCAAGAGACTTCCACTCCACTTGCTGAGAGCAACAAAAAGAGAGAGTTGTGGAAAGTAATTGAGAACATCAGCACATGACTCACAGCTGTCAATTTAACTCGATCATCATGATGTTGTGCCCGTTCCATTACAATAGAAAACACACCATGGCGTGCTTCATGTCCTGCTCCCCACATCCCTAACCACTTCAAAAGGTATGTGGATCTTGGGGGGATTATTTACACCACACTTGGAAGATTTTACGTCTTCTACACAAGGCAATGCTCACTCATTCCCGGTGAATCGCAGGTTTGACTAGAAAACACGGCCAGAGTCTCCGGCTGTAAAAGGCCCCTAGTCACCTAGTCCGGAAACATGTACAATATATAAGATATGTTTGTTATTTAGTGTATCTATATATATATAGTGATAGTTGCCACCACTCGAACTGATGATACAAAAACAAATCACAGTATGATATGAAGCAAGCTTGGCCAAGAACAGTTGCGCCTGCAGGGTACTGTTTGGCGAGCTTGACGTAGGAAAACTGGCCACCTAGCTGTTGCTGGGGAGAAACACACGACAACTGGTTCTTTCTTCAACAGTGTATCTATGCTGGAATACAAATGATAGGGTCCAGAAGGAAATATCTCTTCAATTCCACTTCTCTTTCTCTGGGTTGTGAGGGTCGAAAGGCTCGAAAAGCTTGGTTATTGATCCATCCCACAGGTTATGACCTATATACACCAAACCAAACACACAGATCAACCAGTCAATGACTGCAGCTGTTGTCTTGCGGCACCATGCGGCGGTTGTGCTATTATTCTGGCACCAATCAGATCACATAGTGACCCCCTATCAGATTCAAGGGAGTGAATCGCCCGTCGACATGAATCTGAACTCGTTCTTATCTATATAGGGAAGAATATGGAACAACTATTTTACAGTAGTTCGATGATATTAGTGTATATATATACATACGAATTAACACATCACAAACATGTTGTTACTCAGCATGGGACCTGAACCCGGCCAACAAAAATCGGCTCCGCTGCTTTGTCTGAGAGTCTGGATGAGCGATAGACTATAGACGAACATCCAATCTCTGGCACATCTTATCTAAGATATTCGAGACCAAGATTGTGCGAAAAAAAAAAAAAAAAAACATCCGTGAAAAAATGAAAATCCTCCGCCCAAGCGGCTAAGAACCAAATAGCTGCACTCAGCAATACCGCCCGTGCAAAACACCACGTCATTCTGCGCCAGCTCCACCTAGCTCTAAAGGAAATCCAAAGGGATAAACATATACAAATAACCACCATAATACCGTCTTCAACCACCATTTTCACGCGTGATCTTCAACACCTTCAAACTTCAACAGAAAACAGAAACATAAGTGAAGGGTCCCTCCTTCATGGCAGTGATGGTGTCTTTTAATCGCGCTGGTGAATGGTGCCCACTCGCATTCACCACCCCTTCCTGGCACTTCCTGGGTGCTTATCTTTTCAGATCTCCCAAAATACAGGTGAACCACGGACCGAGAAGGACCTCTGCCCCGCGTTGTTTGCGCAAATGTGTAGCTACGTATCTCACGTGGTGGAGATGTTTAGCTTGGAAATAAAGATTGGAGGATTCTCCGGAAGCCCCAAACCAAATGATAAGTTATTTACCCAAGCCAAACCTAAAGGAAACAAGGTTTTCATCTGCTCTTCCTGTAACCAGGTCCCCTTCCGAGGTCCTGTATTTGAGTCACACCCTTGTGCCAGCTGCCAGTGGCTTGTTAAGTTCCTACATTCATTATGTCTTTCTTTCTTCCTTTCTTTCTTTCATTTCATTCATTTCATTAATTCATTCATTCATTCATCCATTCCATTCCATTCCATTCCATTCCAATTCATTCATTCATTCATTCATTTATTCATTCATTCTGATGGACACATCCCACATTGCCGATGTACTGTGGCAATGCCACAGCCAACATATGTTAGGATGAGCGACAAATCACATATCCTTGCATATTGTTATTTGTTCTTGCAAAACCTCGGAGAACAGGTTCACACAATACACTTGCCCCAATTAAGCAATCTACCTGGTTCTTCAACAAGATCTTGGGGTTATCCTGATCGCTGGTTGGGACTGCAAAGGGATCCTTTTGAAGAAGCTGTTCCCGAAGAATGCTGATTTTCGAGTGGCCCACCATTCCACCTAAACTCAAGCTTGTTTGAGAGTGACTTACAGGTTGCGAAGTAGTACATCGACCAAAGTACGAAAGAGTTGATGCAATTTAGTGAGCGTTCTGCGTTTGTCCACAATTGAGCATCCCATCAAATCTTTGTAAGCTTGGACATTTGCAGAACCAGTTTCAGAAATTGGTCTCACGCGAGACCGGACCCTAGCTCTGAAGGGGTCGCATGGGGTCGGTCCAGTTTGGAGGCACCAGTCGGGCAGCACGACGACCCGGTCGCGTTCAGACTGGACCCTCGGAGGGAGCAGTGCTGGCTTCGAAGGATTGAACTCACGACTGCTTGGTGCGACCGAAGGAGTCACATACATGGTTGAATATGGCGTTCAATCATCCCAAGGTTCCAGGATACAAACATCAAATATCTGAAAACCAGTCCCAGCCAGTCTCCACTTCGTTCACTTCACTTCGCCATTCTCCGCCGTGGTGCCATGTGAAGCGCCTTCACCGCCAAGCTCTGCAGGACCTGCGGGCGGCGGACGCGGGCGATGGAGACATCGGTCGATGACTCTTCGACTCTTCTTTTCACCATATGAGTCATATGAGTGTGTCTATTTAACTCTAGGGCTTCAACCACCTCCTAAGAAGGTGGTTGGGGTGGGTGCCAGGGGCGTCGAATACCATCTTTCGTTCCGGATATAGTTGGAGCCCTAAGGGAAATAGGGTTCCCTCCCAGGACCTGACCCTCTGGAAGAAGGAAGATCAAAATCCATCGATTGCTTTGTCTCCTTCGAAAAACATATACACACTCACATAGCAAAATGGTTGATCACCTAGTTGAGGTATGCTGTTCCCATATCGGAATGATGTCACACCAATTGGATCGAATTGGTGATTGGCGCATGCCTTCAAAAGGTGCAGGTTTGTAGACAGGTAGACAGCCCTGGCTATAACTGCGAATATAAAGCCCCGGCGGTTGAAATGGTCCAATGCAGTAGGATGCATGTGCATGTTGGCATCAGAGATGAGATCTCTCGCGAGAAAAATAAGAGTCGCGTGAGTTTTTGGCGCCTTGTTCTCTTGAAAGGTTTGGAAGTTGCTTGCCATCAAGGACCTCAGGCAAGCACCAGAGGCTCCATGCTCTGTGCATCCAGCCGCAAAGCGCCAGCTATTCACAGCATCCATCATGATCGCTCCCTTATCCAATGGACCCCCCTCGAACGATGCAAGTAACATCAACCTGCTATTGGCCTTAGGTCCGTAGTCTGGTAGTCTGGACGATCCATGGCGGTTAATTCACCTAAAGCCTAAGCAAAAGCATGAATGGGTTATTACTTAATTATTCATGCTGATTCAATTCATATTCTACAGAATCCAGTTGTTTGTTGGGGACTCAAACTGTTTTGGTTTGGGAACGAAACGTGAGCTTGGCTGGATCTCAAACAAAACACTCCGTACAGCTTCAATCTCTAAACTGTTCCTCCTCACCCTTTGGAACGTCTGCTTTACGAACCAAGGATTCCAGCCGTGACCCTCCCCGCTCCGCACCCGCGTCGTGCCAACCAAGACGCTTTAAGAAGGTGAGCCTTGAAAGCAGTGTTGGGGATGATTCCATGTGGTGAGCCGGGTCAAACACTGGAGACACCATGTAGCGCATGTAGCGAACAACCTTCCGGGTAGCAGCATCCCCACAGTTTGCTGTGATAGTGGTTATGTGATTGTGAAGAGTATTTTTGTTTGAAACATCCTGGAAGTGGACAACTCCAACAACTCCACTATTCCCGCTAGGACTCCAACCACCTCCGTTTCGAAGATGCTTGGGGTGGGTGCCAGGGGGGGTCGAATACCACCTCCTATGGATGCACGGACTTGCGGGCACGCTCCCACACCTCCCCTTACTCACGGGTGGAGCGGCACCTCCTATGGATATAGTTGGAGCCCTAGGGTTTGTAGAGCAGCATATTCAGGCAGTTCCCACAATGTCGCTGATATCGTCCCAGTGGCCAAAGACAACCAAACCTTATTCCAGAGGCGATCCCGTCTACGGTCCCCGACCAGTTCCGTATACGAATTAGTGGCATGCCGACCAGTTCCGTCTGGAGGGGAAGAGGGGCAAGGATGGTCGGCAAGGCATCGGATCACCCTGGTTTGGTCCGATCAATTATTGGGATACGGCGCTAAGCCTTGGCGCCAGGAATGGCGCCTCTGAGCGGAGCGCTGGTGGTTTGGTCATTTGATCCGCTCAGAATTTCAGGAGTGATAGGGCTTTACACAGGTGGGATGCCCTGGGATGCAAGGGAATTGGAGTAGTGCTATCGCATGCCATGTTTCAAGACTGAAGGACACTGCAAAAGAAATGACAAGAGGCACATGTCTTTGATCCCACAAAGATCATGTTTGTAGAGATGCCAGAACCCGACTCTAACTACAGGTCTCTATGCAAGGGTTGGGAAGGGCCCTGGTCTCCAGGGTCTTACTGGGTGACCCTATTCGAGGGAGGTGGCACCTATGAAGGTGTTTCATTTCTGAGGATCTCCTATTTAGTCACATGATTTGCATGAAACCATACCTCCGCACCAGGCCCTCTTGAGGATGTACTACCTGCTGGCTTATTCCAATGGTCACAAGTAGCACAAGTAGACGGCTTAACTTTAGTGAGAGGGAGCTGACCTAGATAATTATTAGAGTGACAGTTGACAAGTTGTAGGAGAAGCTCTTGGATAAGCTGCCTTGAAATACCTTGAAAGTTTGGTTGAAAGGAGACACTGACTGCTGATGACCGCCCAGATGCAGTGACCCAGGCAAAAATAGACATCATACATCATACTGGCTTTCCTTGCCAACCAGCATTTGATCAGAACAGAAAAAGAAAAACATGTGCGCTTCATCTTCGTGTGCTAGATCCATCCGCCCCATCTTCGTGTACTGGGAGCACAGGGCTGCTCCAAGCTGGTCATGCTTATGAAGCGCTCATGCACTATAGGTGGAGATAGCCTGAACAGCACCGTAAAATCCTTTGGTTCACACCGCAACCGATCATGAACACCTGTCCACCACAGGGTTCCTTCCATTGAAACTGCCGCAAAAAACAGCCTGCACAAACGACCAAACATCGCTAAAAACGTCTGCTGCTCAAGTGACTTGCTCAAGGCCCCTTCGTAGCGTGAGAATTGAAGCTCTGCATGTAGGCCCTGCAGAGGCACCGGGGGCTTCTCGAGGGCTTGGGGGGCTTCACTCGGACTCCGCTGGTCGAGTGAGGTGCAGAAACCAGATGTAGTACCAGATGATTGATGATTAAACCCTAGGGCTCCTGTCCTATATCCGAAGGTGGTATTCGACCCCGGCACCCAAACTGGGCCAGGAGCCCGGAAAAGGAACAAAACATGACATTCATGGACTTCCATGGACTGCCATGGACTTCCATGCTTGTGTCAGATTCAATAACTGTGCTCAGCACCCCCTTTCCTCTTCTCCGTTTGGAACCAGCTCTCCCGACCTGGAACTGGGTTTCGTTCTACCCTCTCTTCGGCCCAAAAAATGACGAAACCTGAGACCTGAGACTCGTGAGAGACCTGAGACGATGACGTTTCACCTGGCTGCCTATACTGCAGTCAGCCTGTCGCATGGGCTGCACGGCTGCAGGAAAACCGTCATTGCTTTGGAACCAACAAAAACAGAACTCGGAACTCGGATGAACTCGATGTCCAGGCAGCAAACCAGTGGTTTCAGAGAGTAGATCACACAAACCCCATGATGTCCTGAAAGATGGGGGTCCATAGAAACCACCTCATGGGGTCTGTGCTATCTACTCTCAATCCACTATTAGGATACTATAGGGAATAAATGGCCTCCCTTCGGGTCCTAAGATGCTTCTGGGTGAGGATGAACCATGTCCGGGCGTTGCACCGAGCATGGTGTCTGACGCTGCACCAAATCCGTTGGTGTCTGTCACTTCGAAGATCGTTGTGGCGTTGTGGTGCACCAAAAGGCTCAAGGGCCCTGGGTCTGTGGTCGGTCTTCTGGAAGGGTGCCCTAGAGATCCCGTCGTACCTTCTCAGGTACGACTGGACCCTCCAAACCTACATAACGGTGTCTCCTTCCTTCACCTTCGGTATGACTTGATCCCTACGGGTGCTAGGCCGGAGGAAGAATGAGCTGATAGCCTGACTACCGAGCTGTAGATCCCCGGGAAGAGAATAGACGCAAACCTACCACCTGTTCGTGTTGAGTGGGAACCCAAACATCAACTTTTACAGGTCCATAGGGCTCCAAACATCTCCTCAGTTTCGGTGGTTAGATTTGCCTGGCACCCACCCCAACCATCTTCGAAACGGAGGTGGTTGGAGCCCTAGCGGGGTAATCCACGTACGTCCGGCAAGGTTCCAGTCGACACGAAGGGAACCAGGGCCCGGCCGTGGACAAGAGCTTCAGGATCGGCACATCTGAGTCTGAGGTACATTCCTCAGATGCTTCCGTGTTCGTTTCCCTCCGGGCCCCCGTTTCAGGCCAGCAAGTGAGCAAGCTCAAAGGCTTGCTCGCGACCAGTGGATGTGACTCTCACATCCACTGGTGGGATTCCTGGAGCACTGAGAGTATTGCACTGGAGCACTGAAAACATGTCAAAATAGCCTCTGACTCAAGGCCATTGTTTTGAACATGGATTGTGCATGAACTCGTCAGGTCTTTTTGGGAAAACGCATCTCTCGATGCGTAGTTATATTGTTGTTTATTTTTTTTGCAGAGCGACTACCTTGCATATCAGCTCCAAAAAAACGCTGAACCAAAAACAGTCTGAAAAATCCACCTGTGGCTCAAAGAGAGGTCCTCAACACAAGCCATCCACAGGCGGGGCTCAGCTCCGTGATACCTCCAGCAAGAAAGGTGTGACCTTTCTTTCATGTACCACCTGCCCCCTCGACTTCTGCTGATCAAAACGCTCCTGGTGTTTTGGTCGGGTCTGTTTGAAGAAAAACACATGGAAAACAAAATCCGTTAATTGGAAGAGCAAGTCCCAAGTATGTACAATACCAACTCACCAATCAGAAACAAAAAACAACCATATATCATAAAACAAACTATCAGTTCCACTCCAAAAAGACAACTTACTAAGGGTTTCAACCGTTTGCCGGTCCGTCCCGGTCCGTTTTGGAGCGAACGAGGACCCGTAAGGGAGAAACAACATCTATAGATGGGCAGGGAGGTCCCTCCGAAAATACTTTAAAATACACACCCATTATATGGTGAAGAAAAAAACACTGGTTTCCTTGATGTACACTCCCTGGAATCATCACGATTTCGTGGATGGCTGGCAGCCGGCCCTGATTTCGGATGACCATGAGTTCTGCGAAGACCATGGCCAGGTTGGTTTTCACTCCTCCACAACGATAATGCCCGTTCGGGCTCCGATCGTCCCATATCCTCAGGTTCTGTGGAATTCGACCCCCCAAACGCTCCCACCCCAACCACCTTCGAAACGGAGCTAGGCCAGGAGTGCTAGGGATTAATGATGATCACACCCACATGCACCTACTCAGCATCGCACTTAACGGCGGGTCTTCTGCCACATCGTGACCAACCTTCATCGTCCGAACATGCTGCCGGGACAGGGCTCCTGTCCCACATCCTCAGAAGGTAGTTGGACCACTGGCACCCAACCACCCCAACCAATTTCAGGTAGGACATGGAGAGGAATGCCCCCCTCTCGCCGCCGCCCTTGCCCCTGGACAGCGGCATGTCCAGTCCCCTGCCCCATCCTGTTAATAAATCGGGCGTCGGTCTGAGAATGGTAGGCGTACTGCAGAAACCGCGTCACGCGATCTTTGAGGTCTCCCGAGATTCCTGCACGATCCGTGGCCGACCCACCGTTCAGACGCGGGCCGTCGGGTGCGATCGAAAAAAAGAACGGGGTGTTGAAACGGGGCGTTTTCGGTTTCAGAATGGTGGGGAGGAATAGGGAATCATATGGAATCACGTACCTGGACCTTCAAGGGGTGTCCAATGGAGGTCCCTTAGTGGTGTAGGGGCTTCCATTGGGCACCCCTTGGAAGGTCCTGGTAGTCAAAATTAAGAGAGTTGCCTAAAGTAGTGAGGAGTCTACATGTCTTGAGCGGACTATCTACAGGGTTCTGCCGTGCTTTTTCACAGTCACACATATCTGTGAACCAATTACAATTACACCCAAAGTATCCCAAAGTTAATGCATCCACTTCCATTGCATCAGTGAACCAGTGGAGTTGATGTAGACTCTTGAAACACAAGTAGCTCGTCACCCCAAGAGCCTACCGCAGTGGCACAGAAAATGAACACATGAAGACTCTGATGGACCTCGGAATGTCTATGACAATATCAATATCCCAACAGTCAGGTGCACTAGGTGGGCAACTTTCAACATGGGACATCAAAACTAACCGGCAACATGTGCTTTATTGACTTGTGGTTGATGGATGTTGATGACAGGTGGTTTGCAGTGTGACCAAGTGCTGAGGTCCCGCACATGCTCCTTCACATGACTTTCAACGTTCAATAACTTGGCTGGTTTTGTGCGTGTCTACTCGTAGACAACGAAACAGGTCTCGTGCACTTCCCCATGTCATTCTCACTTCCGAAGGCATCGCACCGCCTCCCTTTCACCGCCGAGTGGCCATTGTACTGGAGGAACCGTCTCAGTCGGGTGAACTGATTCATCTCATCATTCCTGGAGGCTTCACGCGTCCGGAGCCCGGAGCACACGGAACACGAACCGCGTCCGGAAGAAGGGAAGAATAGGGAAGAACCGTCCTTAATGCGCCTGTAGAAAGCTGTTGTTCTTAGTGTGTCAGGTGGATTCTTACCCTACACCGCCCTACACCTCGTACCGAACCAAACCGCTTCGGTATGACTGGACCCACTTGGCGGCCCAGTCCCGGCCCAACGGGTGACCCCAACCGTCGCCTTCCCGTGACATGTGTCGCCTCCCTGTGGCGTCGAACATGCTCCCCCATGCAGTGGTCTTCCCCCCCGTGTTACCAGGCACCAAACCAACCAAAAGACCCCATATGTTCTGACCTCCAACACGCACCAAATGCTCAAAAAGCTTGACAGTGCTGAGAAAATCGGACCGATTGTGACTCTGGAGGCAAGCCGGAGTGAAACTTTGGGACCATGGAATCCTTTCAATGACACATCACGTGGAATCGCACAGTACCATTGGTCTTCAAAAGAAGAAGGTCCTTCGCAGTGAGGGTTCATTTCAGGTTCTATGTGTCTCATTGAAACTAATTTGTTCTTTAATGTAAGAGACTGTTTGGCACCGTTTGGGTTAAAAGAACTTATCAATTGCTTCCAGTCTCATCGAATCTCCAGCAACAACTGGCCCTCCTGCCCCGTTGCTCTGCCCTGCCTGCGTTGTTCAAGGGTCGTCATCAACGATGTAATGGTACTGACCTGGAGTATGCCAGGTGGGTACATTTGTTTCGCATCAACAGAGAAATATATATTGCAACAGTCAGTTGCATACATACCCTTACATAGCACATGTTCTTATTGCAAAGAGAACACAGGATTGCTTATAGGACTGCCATATCAAGGAATGTGCAGTACCTTCTAATCGTCAGCGTGATGAAGGAAAAACGTCTGATTCACAAAGTACAACCTACCACGCCAAAGCAGCAACATTCAATTAAACGAGCTTGATAAAATCTCCATGCTTTTTCATACTAGCCTGGCTGTTTGCCTCGAACAAGTTCAACGTCGTGTGGTTGAGATGACAAGGGGAGGGGCATCAATTTCCACTTACTGTACATATTTGGCATCCAGATGGGTCAATAGGCGGCAACGATGGATGGATGAGTATTCAAATAATGGCATCCAAAATGTGGTCAGATGCAGGTGGCCCTTAGCATCCACCTTTGTGGAGTTCTCACAGGTTGTATTGACTATGGATATCTATGGATATGTCACCACTTGATCAACACAGCCATCAAGTAAGGTACTCCCCCGCAAACTAACATAGAACCTGAGAATTGACCTGTGGAAGACCATTTTCCTCTACAACCCAGTGGTTTTGGGGTTCCATGTTCATCTGCAGGGAGTACCAAAAGAATTCTTGAATCCCCCAGATCCCCCTAATTCAATCGTGCTGATTGGACTCCTGACATGTACTGACCTGAATGGCTACTACATATTGTTTTCTTCGCTGAAGGCTGCTGACGACGCACTTCACGCGACAACATTGAAGTTGGAATGAAGGGGTTGGAACAGTGACATGAAACTCATCTTGCGATGGCTGTTTTCTTTAAATGAAGAACCCGGTCCCAGGGGTCACAAAGGGGTGGCTTTAGCTCCTGAATGAGTGCATCATGGGCACCCCGACTTCCTCCATGGATCGCACCCCTTTGAAACTCCCGTAGGTTTCTAATCACCCAAGTGAACACGGACAAACATCCTGACTCCGCTCGGACGGTTCTGCCGGCACCGAAGAATCCACACAGGCTCCGAAGGAAGTTGCCAAGCCCCCCCAAGTTCCCCGAGTCTCAGTTCCTACCTCAGAAAGTGGGTAGAACTACGTTCCTTTGGTTCGAATCATGTCCCATTTTCTAAGGCACTTGAAGTTGGGTCCAGGTACCTTCGTGATCCTTTGTGCCTACTCAGCTTGAACAAGTGGCCGATCTCCACACATGTCTCCTTCCGGTCTCTCCACTCTGCAACCACCCTCTGCGACCACCCTCCCGCCACGACCGGTCCGCTCGTCCCGTCTGTTCGACCTGCTCCCTTGCGAACGCGTGGCCAGGGCGGAGGAGGAGATCAAGGAGACCAAGGCCACGCAAACGCAGAAGAGTCGCTCGAAGACGTTGTAGGCCTCAGACGTCGAAGCCAACGTGGAGAGGTGGGCGAGGTCCGCGAGGTTGTGGGCGGCGGTGGTTTGGTTTGTTTCGGTTCGGGGTGCGGCAGAAGGGCGGCAGAAAGGCGGACGGTGCGGAGATAGCCAAGAGATGACACTGGTTTTTACAGGAACAAACCATGTTTCGGGTCCAAAAGTCGAGGTCACGTTCTGCCAGTGGCCAGTTCGTTCGCAACTCGATGGCGCCGGGGAGTACAAGTCGTGAGGGAAAACCGGATTGAATGCGATGATGAAAGAATCAGTGTTGGTATTATGAAGCCCTATGGATCCACATACCTCCTGAGAGATCCTGAGGTACGGTGATTGGAGACTATTGATGTAGGCGCCGGCCCAGTCATACCGAACCTGAGAAGGTGGATCCGTGGATCCATAGGGAAGAACCTCTATCAAGTTCCCGAGCCACAAAAAGATCTGTTGCTATCAAATAGAAACGGAACAAAGACTCCTCCACCACTGGTTTGATAGTCCATGATCATATACAGATCCATTCAAGGCCCTCCCAAGTTGGACCCTCGTAGATGAATCCAATTCGCTTTGGAGAGACCGAAGAACTTGGGCTCTGAAACAAGCCAACAGCACAGGAAGCCACAGGCACCAAAGAATTCAATTAGAATTCCGGTGCGCTTCCGGCCCCACAGCATCTATTCTAAGTACTGGACAACTGCTTTTGCTTGCGCAGAGTGATAGAAGCAGCACATAAAGAAGTGGAGGGTTGAAAGACTTTTCCCTGGAAGGCCAAATAGAATCAAGAATGGTTGGCTGTGAGTTGTTCCAGAGGCTTTCGTTTTTGCTTTCGTTTCGATGCACATGGAGACCAGTGATGAAGGCTCAGAATCCTGTATGAAGGCTCAGGATCCTGTGATGAAGGCTCAGGATCCTTATGGCAAAGTGCTGCAACATGTGTACGGTATCCCTTCTTGAGCGGCCAGACTTGCAATCACAACCAACCCGGCAAGATTGCTGTTGAGCACGAGGAAGTATCAAGCGTTTACTGCGTCAACATCGGCACTTCTCACCAGGCAATTCACATCGGAACAGGGGTGGATGCGATTCTGAAACATGCTTGATATTAGATAGGTATGCTGCGGTATGCTTTGAATGGGATGAAACATGCTTAGATATTAGATAGAATATGATAGATATGCTTAGGAGGAGAGTCACACACGTTGAAACCGGCAAACCGCATAGTCGTCGTCGTCCCGCCCCGCATCGCCCAGCGTCGCACATGAGGAACCCAATAGGAACCCCAACACACACAGTGACACCCTGCAGCAATAGAGCATGTGAGTTGAACCCTTTCAAAAAACGGCTTTGGTGTTTCTTCGTATTTTTTGCAACAAAAGGACCCCCTAGCCATTGGAATCGTCCCTGAGCTAGGTCCGACAACTCCAAACACGGCTGCTCTGTCGCCGAGATGCGTCGATCTCCACGTTTCCCACGCCAAGCTGAGTGAAAGACCAATGTAAACAGCTAAAGTACTGAAACTGCACCTTAGAGGAAGGCAGCGTGGCCGAAACCCTGGCATCTCCGAGGTGGGAGAGTGGAGTAAGAATGTTCATCAACTCTATTCCAACTAAGTAAAAGTTTAGATAGTTTAGTAGGGTCTAGTGTTTTTTGAACATTTTCTGATCTTTCTGGAGCTCTGCTAAACATCGTGTCTTTGCTAAATGCCCAGAGTTAGTGACATATGATAACTTAGGAACTCTGTCTTTTAGACTGGTTGCCAAACACGTCGCTCTGGCATGAGTCTGGTCCTTGTACGCATGCGCCGCAGCTCAATGCGTGCGCCTCTTCCTAGAATTGTCATCAGTCTTCCTATCTTCACAGCACATCACTTCACCTTACGTTTTCAAAGGTTGGCTACTATTGTGCCTTTACCAGTTGATGTGATGGACCATTATATAGATATCCAATGGAAGCTCAAAAGTGCCGTAGGAGTGCCCATCGGTGACCCCTCCCAAGCTGCTGCTGCTGCTGGTGGTGGTGGTGGTGGCGGTGATGATGATGATGATGATGATGATGATGTGGTTGATATGCAGCACCCAAACATGGAGTTGCAAGGCTGAATGGCTTCAGCACACACTCCAGATGGATCCTACAAGGAATCGCCCAACAGCGAACGACCTCCAATTCGTCAAACTTCAAGGCCCAAGGCAGCTTGCTCCCAATCCGCCGCTTGCGCAAGTGACAACACTAGTGGCATCCTTGTCTGCAAGGGAACTTCCGAATACTTCAGAAACAGCACAAATCAGAACCACAATTTAAGGTATAAGATGGTATAAGCATGATGCCGCTTCTGCTGTCTGCCGTGAGAGGGGCGCCACTATTCCGCCCAGAACACACGTCTTCGGCTGCGCTCGGGGTCCTCGGCCTCCGTTGGACCCAGGGAGAGGCGCACCACAGTGGCCATCCGAAACCGCTGTCGACAGCTCCCTTCACCGAACGGCGGAACGGCGGCTCGGACGCGAAGAACAAAGGTTCGGAACGGCGGAACGGACGCGAAGAACACGGGAGCTGATTGATCAAGAGCCAGCAGAGCGCCCAGCAGAAGGCATGACCACATGATATACCACGGCCCATGACTCGCGCAGACCATGCGCACAGCGAGGAAGTGGCTGTCAAACTCTGAAGAGGGCACTGAGAGTGTTCATGAATGTGTCCAGCATGGCGGCGTGGTCCTCCAAGTCCATTGAGGCCCTATCGAAAACCATAGGGGATAAGAGACTGTGGGCACAAGGAGACGCAGCTCACCATCGCTCTGGTACTCCCAAAGCCAAAGGAAGAGACACCAAGTAGTAGGATGAAGATGCTTGATAAGGGAGCCGCACCAAAGCTGCAGTGCAATCCAGCATCAACAAAGGGCAAGCGGAGACTGTGAGTTGCATACATCGCGCTGCTTGTTACACGATAGAGCACAAACTGAGTGCCATCAGGGCCATCACCCAGAATATACCCCAGGTATCCCCAGATATTCACTGGAAGCCATGAAACCATTCCTTGCAAAAAGATTCTCCCACTTTTTCAGGCACCCAGTCATCCCTTCCAACCAAACCAGAGTCTGAACCCAAACAAGGTCTCATGCCAACGGTTGTTCGGTCTCTGGACGCTTCGGGACCACCACCGACGCTCCGAAAGCAGCCTCCCCCCGTGCCACTGCGTCTGCGTGACCGTGGCCGTCCGAAGCTGTGTGACCTGGACCGCTCGGTCGACTTGGAACCGTGACGGATCAGTTGGACTACCGGTCATGATGGGCTACCGGCACCTGGGGAGAACCGCGACGGACCTGTGTGACTACCCAGGTTTTGCTCCAGGTGCCCCATACCAGTGAGGATCTACTGGCACAGGACCTCGGTACGGGTGAAAGGTGTTGAAGACATCACCCACATGAAGGTGGCAGTGGATCCATGAGGGAAGGAAGAGATTTAAGTCTAAGTTTTGGGGAACTGCCTGCTTACTCACAATATCCCAGAGTACTGAAGTTTTGACATCATATTAACCTGAGAAGAGAGACATGAAAGCCAGTCGAAGTTCACACTATACACCCGCGCGTGCGGGTGACGCACGCGAAAAGGGGGGTCCTGAGACGCATGTGGGGTCCTGTCCTACGATCAACGATACTTCTGAGTGGAGTCGGACCACAACCTTGCGTTTTGCCTCCAGTATCTTGCAAGCTGCGCATCAACTGCCCCGAAGAAGAGGAGACAAAGGTGGGCCAGCGTAGCAGTTGTATGTTCATGCATGCATCTTAAGACTATGAACCCCCTTTTTGGTCACCTGGAGCCCAGAATTCGGTCGAACCAGGTCGCCCCTTCAAGTCGAACCCCGGACCTGGAGTGTTTATGATTCGGTATTTCATGACATTAAAACACTGTCGGTAGATCACACGTCACCCAGAGTCAGACGAGAAGTGCTCAAACAATTCATGATAGGACTTGAACCCACTTGGTTGAGCTGTCTTGTTCTTCGCACTCGAAGGTGGGGTAGTGCTTGAGTTGAAACACAAACGGTGAATTGATTCCCAGTCAAGGAGATTGAGCAGTTGCTGTGCTGGTTGTTAATACTGTGCAGTACGTTGGCACTATGGTGGGAAGCATGTTGTGGTATGCTGTATGGCGTCTCGTTGCACCATGTTGCAAGTGATTGTAGCTAGTGCAACGTCAAAAGTTCTGACCTCGATACCTAGATTGCAGAATAATTGTTCTATGTACGAGTACCCAATATATGTGCACATAAATGAACCATACAAACGAGTCTAGACATGCTTAAAGCGGCAGCAAAGCATATTCCTCCTGTACGCATCCTGTGGAAGATGTATTTCTGTACCATTCGACGATTGATGATGTTTAAGGACACCATTCAAAACAAAGATGTTCTTCATGTATATACCTTGAACATGCAAGTTCGAGTTGTGTCACTGTGGAAGTGGGTTTTCATCCCCATGGCACGGGGGGAATATGTTCTTATAGAACCAGCTCATGTCTCAACTTGACCTCTGGAGGTCGGTCTCTCAAGGCTTTCCTCGTCGTCCAGTCGGTCGTTCCTTCGGCTCGATGGGTTTTGTCCGTTACATCGATCGCTCCGCCGGCGTGACCAACCGGATACTGGGCGTGAAGGATAGTGAAGGTTCTTTTTAGCCGGACAACTGACCAGTCGACCCCGCCAAGGCCAGGGTGTCTCCCTATGACATGAAGCACCTACATAATCCTATTATATTATAATTATATATTTATATTCCCTAAGGAGCCAAGTACAGTACCTTCTCAGGTCATTGGAGACGCTGTTAGTAGATTTGGAGGGCCCAAAAGCGCTCTGTCTTCAACACTTAGGCACTGATCCTTTTTTGGACGTGAACGCCTGGGGCGCGCGCGGACGGTTTCAAATGCGCCATTCCTGGACCCTGGACACATTCTTTCACACACGATCACTTGTAGTTTGGCATAGGTGAATCTGATGGAGAACATGCTTGCCTGCTTACTGCTGGCGTGCATGATCTTTCACCTAGACCAGCGCAATGATCGATTTCAACCGCCAATACAATAAGAACAAACATATGCACCTTTCAAAGACATTGTAAGACTGATCCACTGTGTAAGAGCAAACGTCTAGTCTAGACATTCCGAAAACATCTGCGATCGAAAATCAAGGCACCTGCCATGAACAAAAATAGTAATGAGTGCCAAGCTGTACATCGCAGCCTGCAAAAGCTTAGCATGCAGGAAGCTGCTGATGGGATGAGCTGGTCTAACGGAATGTAATTCCGGATTGTGTCTCACCGGCTTTGATATGATTGACTCCGGTAGAAGGGGAAGTTCACAAAGCCCAAAGCTTTCGCCATTCTGAGGGACCCTGTTTAACATTGTTTAGCTGTTCGACAAATGTTACTTATCCGTTGGCCAAAATAAACCCAGCCTAACCAAGATGACATAAGTTTTGTGGACCAACTCAGGGTAAGCTTGAAATCACCCCATCTGCCAGGGAAGAATTGGGAACACCGGGAAAATCTGGCAGTCGGTATTCCCGGTGTGATACATACTCGGAGTTGATCGGTGTCACGCAAGCTGTGAACGCGTTCTTGCCGCAGCCTGCAGACACACATTTTGCTTGATAGCAGCCGAACCAAGCGAACGGCTCCTGTCCTCATGTATCCCCGCTTCTAAAGGTCACCCTCTCGGCTCATGGCTGTTTCACCAACCAATGGACAAATGAACAATGAACGATCAAGAGGTGCCCTCTTCACCATGGGGTCCCAAGAGGTGCCCCATCGAAACGGGCTGTCAGACATGGGGATCCATCGAAAGGGGCTGTCCCACCGGGACTTCATGGCGCCGACTCTCAGGATCCGGGACGTCCGAAAGAAGCTCGTCCACCAGCGACGGACTGTCTCTCGAGCTGCTGGTGGTCTCCTGCGTTGGATGGAACTTGGTGGTGTAAAGGGCATTGAAACTGGGGGTTGTGAGGAAAAAGCCCACAATTCCGACCGGGGATTCACCCACAAGGAAACAAGAACAGCACCCGCAAGGTCACAAAGCCAAGAAAAGCAATGATGTCCGCTGAGGCCTCAGTTGTGCTGCACGGAACGAACACGTAACGCGTCCTTCAAGTGTTCGAGTTCGAGCGGTTCACTATTGCTGCGAAATTGACCCCTGCGCTTCTGTAGCGATCCCTTGAGAGATCTCAGATCCACCTCGTTGTGCAGGATGGTGCAGGTGACAATGGAAGACTATCGGGATCCCTAAACATCCTTAAACAACATAACTTAAGATTAAAAAATGTTCAACGCGTCGCGTCAAGAGCAGAATACCAAAACAGCATATTACATATCCAATGAATATGTTTAAAAACAGTAGTATGTATGTCATAACGATCATCACCGAGGCACATCCCCCACAGACCATGTCATTGTTCCAGGATCGTTGTCAAGGTCAAGAGACAAAGGCAAATCACCTTGGGTTTGCATCAGGCGCATGGAAGGAACACCATGGAAAACCCACTGCCGTCGACCATGTCACGCCTCTAGGACTACACGAGGTAAGGGTTTGGCTCCTGAAAGTGAACTAGAACATGGTGACTGAGATCCACAAGGTGAAACATGGTGAAACTATCCCAGGTCACCCAAGGTTGCACTGACCAACTCAGCTCGGTCAGAAGCTTCTTCTGCGTGGAGGTGCAATGGCTTGCCGAGCATTCCATCCATCTTCGGCAAATGTGATGGCATGTCCATGGCTGTGCAGCTTCTGTCGGTCGCACCAACTAGACTTGGACCCAACTGGCACGGCTTCGGCAAGGCCCGGGAAAGTCTGGTCTTCCATACACCTAAACACTCCATGGAATATGATGGAATATATGCCTGCGTTGAAGACTCATTGACCTTAACCAGAACAAGATTCAGATGACTAAATTCCAAAAACAATTATCTTTTCGACCTCAAAACAACCCTCAGAATGACCCAAGCGGCGCAAGATCGCAAGCGAGCGCAGAAACGCGCAAACTTGGTTCAGCACACGTGATTGACAAACAATGGTGATCAAACTTGCCTCTCTCACGTGCCCAGTTTATTGCCTCAAACACAGGAATGCCCCTCTACGGTCAACCGGTGCTGGTGGGGACCAGTACTGAAGATGAAGCCGGGTGCGAGTAGTGCGCAGTGGTGTCCTGAAGATCCCTAAGTAAATGGAGGGTGGTCCAGCCAGGTGATCCACTGGATGGTCCTGGTATGTTCTGCTATATATCTAGGCAATTGGGCCATCTACTCTCAAACCACTGTAGAAGTGAGGGTATAGCTGGAATCATTTGGACGAATGATGGGATATATGACCCTTTCTAGAGATATTTGTCACGATATATACCCCAAACTCAATCGGACTGGCATGTATTCCAGTTTCATGGGTCGTGTCTGGGATATATAACGAAGAATATCGATGGTATTTCAACCCCCCAAGCGTCTTCAGAGGTTTTACATGGTTTCACAATCCATCTGTGTTGGGGGGTGTTCTTCAAGAGTCTACATGATCGCAAAAAGGCACTTGCTTCGGCCAAAAAACAACCACTTGGGGGGATCATTGTACTAGGCACAAGAAGTTACAAGTATCCTAGGGCTCCTGTCCCATCTCCTCAGGTTCGGTGGTATTCGACCCCCAACCAGCACTCACCCACCCCTTGCCCACCGAACCGAAACGGAGGTAGGCGGCCAGGAGCCCAAACGGGTTATGCAGGAGGCACCGAAGCGGAACGCTTCGGCTGGCTCTCTCGTCCCAGCCTCGCCTCGATCCAGCTGGCCTCGCCGGTCTCAGAGGTGCCCACGAAGAACCTCGGCCCGGCGAAGCAAGGCGGAGCCTTTGGGGGTTGGTTGGGTTGGCATCATCATCTGAGCAGTCTAGACGTAGCGAAGAATATTGGAGAAAGAATGTTAAAGACTTACTATATATCGATATATATATATACAGCATATTACTGTATTATATATATATATTTAATGCCATCGATTCAAGAAGCAAACGGAGTCTGGTCAGGTTTCTTGTTGCGGGCCAGTACATCATAGTAGACTTTCTGAGCAAGTGACATCTCAAACCCTGTGGATCCACTTCATGGGTCGGTCTTTCGTTTTTTAACACATCTATCACATGAAGGTCAGTGTCTGATCAAATCGGAACGTGGGATCTAGGCACAAATCAAAGCACGTTTGCACCGAAAACAAAAGACACTAGGCATTGAAAAGAAAACAATATCTTCGATCAGGTCTCTGTCAATATGGTCTTCATTCTGGAACTCCTTGATGATTCCTGTGGATTGTCATGGATTGATTGGTTGGTTGACACGGTCGGTTGTAGCGCGTTATGCTTGTCGTGCTTCATGATTGTGGTACATATACGGAACGAACAAGAAAAACAATGGCGGTGATCGAAACGTATGAAGTGAAACCTCTGCTAAATACTATATACTGTTGATGGAAGGAAAGCACGGCCAGCACCTCCAAAATATGTGGAATAGAATCTGGTTCTCAGATCTGTAATGGTGCAGCAGGTGGTCCAGTCAAGCTTGGCACTGACCTATAGAAAAAGCCGCGATTTCCAGCGGGTCACAAGCCAAAGGGTTGTGTCTCTGGCACAATACAAAAATAGGAAAGCTTCCGATGTTCGCAACGCTGCTCGATGCCAGGAAGCCAAAGGCATGCGATCACATGCTGCAGGAGGATGATGTAGCCAACAATTTTCAAGATGTTGTACTGTGTCAAGGTTGCCTCCCAGCTGACTTACTCCACCACTGTTTGATCAACGCGACCAGTTGGAATAGGATGTGCCAACATGTCCGGACTTCTTCCAAAGCACAAGTCACTTGGCCAAGGAGTCAAATTGGTGTTTCGATAGAAACAAACCTGCAACTTCCACTATCGTCCCTAGCACGATTGAGGGTCCTGCAAAAGGTCTTGGTGAACTGCTAAATGCACAAGCTAAACATGTCCCGTTGATCTGTTCCGCTCCCTCGAACTACCTCCTTGAGAATCCCTCCACACCAAGGAGTAACCCACTTCCTGTGTCCTTTAGTCAAACAACCACTGGCCGAGCAAAATGACACCTGGTGCTCCTTTGTCCGGTTGTCTAAGGCAACAGTAGAAAAGCCTTGCGGCAACGCTTCAAAAGCGGGCCCCTCCCCATCCTGGCTGATTTCTGGACCTCAAGACCGTGATCCCTTTGGCCACAAAACCACGCACCGTCCCATCCAAAACAAACATCGAAGCATCTGGTCTCCGGAATCCTGATCTCTTCATATCTCTTCTCCGCCTGCGAAAAGGTGTTTTCTTCCATTCTCTGCAGCAAGGTATTCCTTGGTGGAGTGCTGGGAGTGCCTGGCCTGGGTCCATCTCAGGTCTTTTGTATTCCAAGCCGCCACTGAGCCGAGTAGAATAAGCGGATGGAGATCCCAAGGTTCGGAGCTAAGATGGACAAGTTTTCGGGCAAACACCATTCCCACCGAAAAAAAGGCCACCTATCAATATAGTCTAACCCAAGTGGAATGATATTTGGATTCTCCACAGACTGCAAAGAAGAGGATATGACCGAAGAAAGCTTCACATGCTGCAAGGACCCTCTGAGAAAAACTCATGCTTTCTCAGATGTTGAAATTCCTAGGGCCTCATGTGTTCAATTCTCAGATCTTCGGATTACAAGGTCCCTTGAAGGTCCCAAAGTGTATTCCCTTATACCTCAGGTCCATGATGATCCGCTTCCACAAAAAGCACATAAAAAAACATGTAAAACCAGGGTCTCCTCCCGAGGAGTTCGATCGTTTCCACCTGTTCCACGCAATCCTCGCGGCCCCAAGCGATTGGGTCCACCTGTTCGTGGCACTGTCCACCCCCCATGCCCACCCAGGCGGTGTCCCGCGTCCGCCTTCGCTCGTTTTCACCGGCTAAGCGGCCCTCGTAGGAGCCGAAACATCCGCATGAGCCGCACGAAGCGTAGCAAGCGCAAGGTCTTGGACAAGCGCACCACGCCAGCGGCACCGGTGCCCTGGAGGACAATGGCACCGTTAAGACATCCCCTATGACCTATGGATCCACATACATCTGCGAAGGTGAGCAGGTATAGACAATTTGTGTAGGCGCCTGGGTCGGGCCCAGTCATACCGAACCGGGTCGGTACGGTGGCATGGGATCCATAGGGCTCCATATACTTCCCAGCTTCCGTGAGTTCGTAGGCCCAGGCTAGATGGCACAAACAAATTGTTTGCAATACGTTTGGAGGGTCTAAGCGAGTCTAAGTATCGTCTGGGAATATAGGACTGGAGCCGGACTAAGGAGGGGGACTTATTCCAAGCCTCAATCCGTGCATCGCACTTGGATGACAAGCGTTGACAATCCCAAAAAGCAGAATAGGGGCTAATTGCATGGAATTAGGTGAACACTCAAACTCAAAACCTAATGAAATAAAAGAAAACTCGGACATGTAACACACATATATATATATATATATTGTGTGTGTGCCAGGGTCATTTTTGTATGTTTGGCCTGACGACATGGGAGTTGTGGTATGTATGATCGTTCCTGGTGCCCTAGGATTCTGTTGCGTCCGTTGTACAACTGTTATCTCACTGGCCTGCAGTATAGGCAGGGTCTGGAAAGTTTGGTGGATGTTACCAAACCAGCTGTACTTAAGCCCAAACCAGCAAGAACATTGAACGTTGACTCCTAACAGGTCCTAACATCTATGAACCAAAACCTCTTATTGGGACGCAAAGGTAGAAATTAACATTGCAACAAAGGTGCTCTATCACTTGCTATGGTTTCTCAAAGGACCTTAGCTTTCACACGGTGCATATGATCAATCCGAAAGAACCCCGATCGCCCCAATGGATTGGGTCTATGTCCCGATTTCCCGAACCCGGGGCGTGAAAAACTGGGAGGTCTCCCTATTTTAATTTAAGACACCCGGTGGCTCTTGAAGAGCTAAGAATCCTCAAGAAGATTCCACAAACCCCCATTGGTTGGGGTAACACGCCTTGGCGGCATTTGGGAGGGTAGGTCGGCTGGATATGCTTGCCTCTATGGTGTTGTCGAACCCCATTGGGTTCGACCTTCACCCAGTTTCCGGCCCCACCTCTTGCTGCGAGGCCAAAGCAGTTAGGATCCAATCCACCGTGACCACGGTCACGTCCATGAGAAACCAAGTCCTCCCAAAACGGTGGCCCACAAAAAGCACCAGGTCGAATCTTGAACGTTGTTTCACATCTAGTCTTTTGACTAGACCAAGTCCAAAGATTCTCTCTCACTCTCTTATATATAGAGATAGTACCTCACACTAATTGTATATATATATATACAAAGATCTTATATATGTGATGTAGATCCGATCCAAAGAACCTGCTTTTTACCTTCCTGGCACGTAAAACAAATCTCCAGCAGGCAGATAGTATAGATTGACTGCAATACATTAGATACAGTATGATACAGTATATACACCTATGTTTTCTGCTGATCTATAGGCCAATTGTTCATGCCGTTGATAGCCGTTTTTGCGGATCTTTTTGGGTCCTCAAATAGTGGACCGCAATCCTCCTGGGCTTCATGACCAGAATGCCTGGAGAAGGAGGCTTGAAGGAGGTCTGACGAGTCACACCGTCTGTGGTGGGAGGGTGCCAGGAGGGTCCCATCAGACGACTGGAGCCCGAGCCCTTGGGGCAGCACATGTCCAAGTGAAGCTGAGCAGCAAAGCGTCTCCCAATCTGAACATAGAACCCATGTGACAACTCTAAAGGGCGGCTGGATTCTGAGACTGCGAGCCTCGATGGTAGTAGCCAGTGAAGAAGGAGACGAGAATATCCATATTCCTTGGCTTCCGATTTTGGGTCTAAAGTTGGAGTGCCTAAACGCTGATGGACCCTCCGAAGAAGGAGTCAGACCCTCTGGTGGATGCGGTCCTGAGATGTCCTGAGCATGACATCCCTAGCTTTTCCATCTCGGACTTCAGATTTTGAAGACCGCCTCGATTCCCGGGCCACTCATGTTACTGAGACTTCATCATACACACACTACTCAGAGGTTTTCAGGAGCAGGTTTGGACCTGGGTCAAACTGGACCTGTAGGACTAGGTTGAATGAGGCATCAAACCATGGTCCCTTGGCAGAACAAAATAGATAAATAGACAAACAAAGTTGCAGGAGAAGGTAACGGAATATGTTATACTTATACTATAATGCTGCATGTTCCGGTCCAACCCCATCTGAGCCCGAACCAAAGAAACTACACACACCTTTGCAGTTTGCAGGGCCCGGCACAAAAAACACTTGCATGTAAATTCATTGGGCATGCTGTGAGAAAACCATGAGGTCAAGCTATTGCACTTTTTGGATCGACGCCCTGCCCTGCTTGGCAGCCGAAGCCGATTCTGCCAGAGCGCCGATTCTCCGGTGTGCAGGTGGGACACTGAGAATCCGACAACGGTGAGTGAGCACGATTTCATCACCAGGCTCTACAGTACGCCATTGAGTCCAAGAGCTTCTGTAGTTATATAGTGGTCGTAGTCATAGTCATAGTCTAGTTGTCCTAGTGGTCGTACATAGTGGTGGTAGTAGTAGTAGTAGTAGGAGGAGCAGTAGTAGTAGTAGTAGGTAATATGTAGTAGTAGTAGGTAGGTAATATGTAGTAGTAGTAGGTAGGTAGTAGTAGGTAGTAGTAGGTGATATATAGTAGTAGTAGTAGTACTAGTAGTAGTACTAGTAGTAGTACTAGTAGTAGTAGTAGTAGTCGTAGTCGTAGTGGTAGTGGTAGTGGTAGTGGTAGTGGTAGTGGTGGTCGTAGTCGTAGTAGTAGTAGTAGTAGTAGTAGTAGTAGTAGTAGTAGTACTAGTACTAGTAGTAGTACTAGTAGTAGTACTAGTAGTAGTACTAGTAGTAGTACTAGTAGTAGTAGTAGTAGTAGTCGTAGTCGTAGTGGTAGTGGTAGTGGTAGTGGTAGTGGTAGTCGTAGTCGTAGTCGTAGTAGTAGTAGTAGTAGTAGTAGTAGTGGTAGTGGTATAGTAGTGGAAGTAGCGGCAGGAGTGGGAGTAGGAGTAGCAGGGGCAGGAGGAGCAACAGCAGTGAATCTTCTCACCAGCTCGGCTGCACTTTCCCCTTCGATTGATCGCTGACTTCATCGGCCAAGGCACCAGTAGCACAAGGTGACGACATTCATCGCATCAGCAAAAGACCACCAGTCAGGCAGATTGAAGAAGCGCAAGGGAATCACAATCTCGGCTCGTGGATCGACATCCGGATCCACTACACTACACGGGTCCGTCTCGGTTCACTCCGTCTGCGAACCAATGCCGCATGTCTGGCAAAGCCTGTATATCACCATGTGGTTCGAGTCTTGAAGGTGTACATCAAGAGGCTTCTGAGTGTTCAAAGGATGGATGGTCGAAGCATGTGCCAACAAGCATGTGCCAACATGTGCCACTCAACACTCACGTGAGGATGCAGGTGAGCTCCAGTTGTTTTCGGATGCTTTCGGAGTGGACGGCACCATCCGACCGAGAAATCGGTATACCCCATCTGCCCTGAGAATCGTTCAGACCCAACCCACGACCGAAGATTTGGAGCGAGGAGAATGTTTGACCCCGGCTCTTTTGACCCTCCAGTGAAGGAGGGTAGGTGTAGAATGAACAATTGGATCCCCAGCTGCACAATCGGACTCCGAATCTGATCTACCGTCCATGCGGGCCCGAAGAGGTCCTTCGGCGTCCTTCGGGGATGACATGAGGTGCCGAGGTGCCTACTACCTTCTAAGGCATCAAATCCAGATCAGTCCCAAACACTCCATTCTCAGACACTCCATGTATGGAATTTGTTCATGAAGTACAGGTTGATTTCAGGGCTCAATGCAGATCCTCCAGTCCTACACTTACCACGACCTTCCACCACCCCAAGCGATCGGGCCATGGTCAGGCCCCGGCCGGGCTAGGAGGTACGTAGGGACAGACCATATCTGGCCGCACCTACCAAAACGAACCCAGCGAACCAAAACGAAGATAGGCCAGGCCAGGAGCCCAAAACGAAAAACGTCAGTGCCAGTCCCAAACCCTTAGGGATCAAGTCGTACCTTCTCAGGTGATTGGAGACACTGTTATGTAGGTTTGGAGGGTTCAAGTACCTTCTGAGAAGGTACTTGGATCCCTAGGGAAAGAAGTCGTTCTGCGACCTCGACCGACCCGGCCAGTCATCCGAAGTCGTTCCCGCATGGATCCAGTCATCTCCAGGTCACGATGTCAAAGATCAAGAACCTCAGAGCTGGCGGAGGTCCGGTTGAGAACGTCTTTGGGCACCAGGCAAAAAAGGACTTAGATCCAGATAGGATCCAATACAACCGTCCAATAAAAACACCTGACATTTGTTAGATGATGTTAGATGGACCCGAACTCTGATAAGACTGGAAATGAACCAAGCTTTTCCACCAGGAACCAGGGGTTTTGAAGATTAAACGTTGAGCGAAGAAGTGATCAAGACTAATCAAGTGTGAACATCAAGCAGCGTACAAGAATTACTGTAGAGTTTTTTGTATAGCTGTTTTGAGTGTCGTTTAAGGAACGGTCATAACTCATGGTACTTCTTCAAGTGAAAACGGCCGTTGTCGGTTTGGAGGTGACGTTGATTACTTTAGGAAATGTCATTTCACCTGTTAAAACCGTGAACAAGTAAGTCTGAGTCTGAGTACACAAAACAACACACTAGAGCAAGTTTTTGGTGCAAACCATGCACAAACACATACCTAGCATATTCTGCATCACAAACGCACCAAACATCGCCTCCCTTTTCTGCACCTTCCCCTACCCCTTCAAGACTCACTAAAAAGACTTCAGCCTCCCCCATCGGCTAGCTTTCGTGATATAGTTAAACAGTGGTAGAGATTGAAAGAGTATACTAAGCTTAGGTGGACCTTATCATTCTCTTAGTGCGTTTCGTGTAGAAACAGAAACCTACTCCTCTCCACCAGTGGTCTTCAGTGCCATGAAACGCTCCAAAACGCGCTCCTTCTGGGCCCAGATGGATCCCAAACATGGTGCGTTGTTGTTTTTCTAATAGTTTAGTGGAGATCCTTCGAGACCATTGGAGACCTGTCCCAAACAGTTTAACCACGACTTGGTTGATTTCAGGCCCAAACAGGTCACCAGGTCGTGTCATGGGTTTGGATCCCCAAAAGATACGGTGCAAAAGCTCATGCGCAACGCACCACGGTGCGTTTGACCGCCCGACCTCCACCCGGTTGGAGGGTTCTTCTTGCCAAAGGCACATCATGCCAAGCACACTCCAAAGGCTTTTGAACTTGTTGGTGGGGTGTACCACCATGTTGTTCACGGAGCAGCCGCCTTATCAAGCATGATCGCCAGCAGTTCTTTTGTGCTTTATACAGTCAAAAGAACTGTTGTAAGGGGAACAAATATACACAGAATCCGCTGGCCACCTAGACTTTGGATCACCACTCTTGAACCACTTGCTTGCCCCGAAAGGGAGCGCCAAGGCTGCTCTGAAACAGATCTGAAAACTGGAGAAAGATCCTGGTAGAGCCACCTGCAGTCATACACACGGTCCCGTGGAAGATCCTCCAAGGCTGCACGTGATCGCCGAGAGGCCCGGGATCACCGAGCTCCATGAGGCCCGTTGCTCCTAGAACGGCACGTGACAAAAAGGGCGGCACGGGATACCAGTGTTTTCCGCCAGTGTTTTCCAAGAATCATGTCCTGCCTTGGGTATGACCATGTAACAGTGGCTGATGGTATACAACTACATAAAAGTAAAGGCCCTTCTCAAGAATAGGCATCATCTTTTTCATCTTTTTCCGATTGTTACTGGTAGTGGGATAGACCCAGCCGCCCTGTCTGAGCTGTTTTCAACACGCCTTTACTTGACATCAATCCTTTCAACCCATCCCATTCCCAAACACTCCGTGCAACTGGCATATTGAAATGGGTCAATGTAAGCTATATGGTCTTACTTTCTGGCCTTTCACAGTGGCCACATGCTGCAACCTCCGCACACCACACAAACACACACACACACACACATCCCAATGGGGATAGGCAGGTCCTGCTGACTCCAGGTGACATTGGAGCTCTTGAGGCTCATCCGATTCTTCACCGAGGCCTCGCTCGTCGTTTGGCCGGACCTCCGGAGGTCCGGCCAAGTGGAGCAGCTGCTGAAAGGGAATACAGCAACACCGGGGGGGCAATGGGTCGAGGCGAAGAAGATGGGGCATCATCACTATCTATAGTAGGTACTTCTTCATGTTGTCTGGTTTTTGCATGACTTCTGACACAGTTTGCATGTGCCAAGCTACTTCTTTCCACTGTGAACATCAGCAAAACGTCACACAGAGCCCTCATGTCAAGAGGTCCACGTGTTTGAGGGGAAGACAATCAGACCACTCTATCTGACACATGTTGCCGCTGCACCAATCAGCAATCCCAAAACAGCAATTTCAGGAGCTAACAAAGGCCTGAAAAAAAAATAAACGGATACATGGTTTGGTCTACCAAGCTGAACAGCCATGAAGGACTACCATTTATGGCAAGACGCACCAGGGCAACTGGCTCTTAAGGGCTGTTGCTCTATGATCAACAACTAAGTCTTTGTGTGTTCAATGAGAGGTGTTTTCGTGCTCAAAGTTCTGTACTTTCTTTGGCACACATGGTTTGCTTCAAAACATACCGGAAATACATGGAAAATGATGAAAATCGTATATAGATTCTTACGCCATCTCTGCATGGCATCCTTTTTCTTGAGAAGCACCACTAGCCTTGGTGGGCAAGTGCTATTGTAAAAAACACGTCCAAATGTTTCTTTTTTGTAAACATTCCATACTTGCTCAGACTGCCTTGGTTCTCACACGAGAATTGCAGAAAAGTCGCTGTCAAAGGATTCGCCGAACCTTGCCTGCTTGGCGTCAGGGGCACCCAAATCTGAAATTTGTGGTACACACCGACTTGCTAAGATGGAAGTGGAAAGCCCCGTGTTCGTAAAGAAAAGTAGTCTTCCACGGTGTTATGCCATTCACTTGTTGCACTTGTTTGTCAGAGTGTACTATTTTGTTCAGTTCAATCGGCGTGTGTCCCTTAGTTTGTTCTGCTTACTTTCTAGCCAAATCCTCTAGTGATCTATAATGATCTATATATAGCCAATTTGTCTAATGATGTTGCCAAACATGGTCGAGTCATGTTGAAGTTTGCACTCCATCAAAGTAAAACATGTCCTGCGTTCTTCAAGGAACCTCCCAGTGGAACTTCTTGACCAACACATGGGCGCAAAGTCGAAATCCGCAACTGACTGACCCTTCTGGATTCAGCCACATTAGGGCTCCAGTCGCGTCTGGCTACGGACTCCTCTCAGGGCTAAGCCACACCCTGTGCCGGCCTCTTCCAAAACTCTCGGGGCTCAAAGGCTGCCAAAGGTTGGCTCCTGAGGAAGAGAAAAACAACGAAACCAGCTTAGAAGTTGGGTATCTCCTATTCCCTGGTGCCAGTGAATGATGGTTAGCTTGCAGGCCTGAGCATTGTTGACCTGTTACAGGTCAGGGAGGTCAGTTCACCCCGAAACATCCAACTGGACCCTCTGAACTGGGTAACTTGACCCTCTGAACTGGGTCTTATAAGATCTGATAAGAGCCCTGGCACCAGGATGTCTGGGCTTCGACTCCGGGCTCCACAGCTCCACAGCTCCTGGGTCCTTGATTCTGAGTTGGGGGCTCCAACCAATAGAACTTAGCTGGGTTGCCAGGCCATCAATATACATGTCAAAAAGGTATAGAAATCCAGGTGGCTTCGGAGGTGTCACAGGGGATATGATAGGGACCGGAAAGCATCGCGAGAAAGCTCGAGCTGCAAAGGGTTCAAAATGGTTCAATCGATCTGGGTGTGCTTCATCCCAAACGGGTTTTGTAGCCCTATGGATCCACATACCTTCTGAGAAGGTGGTTGGGGTTGGGTGGGTGCCAGGGGCGTCTAACCACCTTCTGAGGATATGGGCCAGGAGCCCTAGGGCGGCTGGTTCATGAGGGTTTGGCACGTTCCAAGTCCATGGGAGACTGGGAGACGAGACTATTCAGGGTGAGCCTCAGTTGTCACAATGACTGTTGCACCGGGGGATTATTGCGTCCTGGAGTTCAAAAACCAGATCGGTACAGCAAGTCACAAGATGTCCTCCTTTCATAAACTGAAACCAGTCACAACACCCCTATGTAGCCTATGTCACAAGAAGTCAACTCAAAGAAGTTCAGCCCTTTTGTATACAAATGCATACAGCATCTTTCAAGGTCCCAAAACGCTTGAAATAGTAGTTTAATGTATGTTAAACACTGTCTATTAATTAGACAAACAGAGAAAATGGTCCCTGTTGAAATGCTTTTTGGTTTAACCTAGGCACCATCTTTTGAGCCACAATCACTGGTTCATCCAAAGTTGACAGGTTCTTGAGCTTCTTAGTAGAAAGTGCAAAAGCAAAGCTAGTAAATTAACAAGAAGTCATCAAATTTAAGTTAAAGACTGCCTCTGACTGCGAAAAAACTAAAACACATCATCCCAAACTGCCTGTCACTGCTCCAGACTCACCCGCCTGAAATTCCGACTGCCATGTCTTTTCTGTGGAACAGCTCCACCTTCCGGCACCTTTTCCGGCCGGGCCTGGTGATGGCTTCCAAGCCGTCAGACGCCACACTGCCCGACGCCTGAAGACGTCACACGTCGTGACCGAACATCGAACCCGACCGACGCACGATGCACGGTGCTCTGGTAGTTGTGGGAAGAGATACATATCGCTATCATATCGCTATCATAATGTCATATCTGAGACCAGCACGGATTTGGGGTGGTGATTGGATGATGCAAGGAGAATACGGAATGAGGGTGACATTATACACCACCCGAAATCCGTGGTGCACAGGTTCTTGAGAAGGACTCCCTCACCTACCTGCAAGGCCAACATAGACGGGGATTCCGCCAAGAGACTGCACTGGACTCTGCCATGCAGTGGGCCACTGGTACAACATCTTATCAAGGTTTCTTCTCTCGATGAGAATGCTTTACCGAATTGCATGGTATATATATAGTATTTTCATGGAAACCAACCAACCAACCAACCAACCAACCAACCAACCAACCACCAATAACAGGACTTGGCCATCCTTGGTCACTGCTCAAGTCCAATCACTTCAAGCTTGCTAAGCCTGGCTTAACCCAACTAATATAAACCAGGTACACCTTCCGCTGCTCATTCCCAGCTGCCCACGCGCGAAAAATCAGATCGGTCTGACGGGGCGCGCCTTGACCTCGGAGATCTCGAACGTCACCTTCCGCTGCAAGGCCTTCTTGAAGTCATCCTGGAAAACGGGAGGATTCGGGAGGATTGCGCCCGATGTTTTCACTTGTGTTTCCATTGGCCTTTGGATAGTAATTATATAAAACATCCAAATAGATCCCCCAAAACATCCAAATACATTCAAATACCTATGGTGGTCATCCTCTTAGATGGTACTTTTCTCTTGAAGTCATCCTGAACACCTCCCGTCCGCTAGACCGAGCACCGGTTATTCCAAGCACGGAAAGGAGCACGTGGACGTCCGAGCATCGATGGGAGCCCCGGGTCGATTCGTCGCCTCTACACTTGGGACTACACGGTCTGGGGTATCCCCTCTACTCAACCAAGCAATATAAGGTTGGAAGGCCACCTATATATATATATGGTCCCTATGGTTCTTTTGTTTTTTTGTTTGATTGTTTGGTTGTTTCTCTGCTCTAAGGGCTCCAGGCCGGCACTCCCAGGATCACCTGATCTCACGCGTCGAATCACTCGTGGAAAACACACGCAGCGAACTCAGCGAACCGGCGATGATTGCAGCATTCACGGTGTAAATGATCTAGAATTCACTCTAGGATCATATAGACCCTAGGGATCCAAGTTCCTTGTCAGAAGGTGATTGGAGACACTGTTATGTAGGTTTGGAGGGTTCAAGTACCTTCTGAGAAGGTACTTGGATCCCTAGGGAGATATATAAGATTATGTTTCTCAACTGCTTTCTCCTGATGCGACCTGCCGCCCTTCTCCACCACCGTGCACACCCCCCCGGTCCGCAAAGCAGGCGTCGTAGCGGCCGGACACGGAGCGCGACTTCGAGGAGACCTCCGTCGCGCCGGACACGCGACACGTCGACACGCGGCTGGGGGGAGTCGTTTTGAGCGGTTGCCGCGGACCAAACATTGCTCTAATCCTGCAACAAGCGGATGCGGCCAAGCTGACCAGGGACCAATCATAGTAACTTAGGCTTCTTAACGGTACTATCGGAAGCTCCACTGCGATGGACACTGCAGGCTCGGCTTGCGCAATGACCATCCTTCCGCAGCAATTTGGACCAGTCACTCACTTGTCTTCCACCCTCAGCAGCATCTACTCCGACCCAGCTGAGTCCAGAAGCTCGTCCAGTCAAACCAGCTGACGGTCCGATTCGCTGGTTGCGTCTACTCCACGTTCACTCTAGTTGGAACAGTTCAAAAAACTTCAACAACCCCAACTCTATAACGTTAACATGGGCTCTCGAAACCACTGGGTTGTAGAGGAAAATTGTCTTTCGACGGGGTAACTTTCAGTAGCCAAGTTAATCTGCAGGGGGGTATCCCAAACGGACTGGCCTATTTACCGATTAGGGCAGAGGCGGTTTGAGGAGTCAATGTAGGTTAATGGTCACTGGTCAATCGGGTGATAGCCCATGTCCCAGTATTGAAAAATACAACAGAAGGGTAGTCTTGTGCTATGCCAGGACCACGGAAAAGGGTGGTTTACGGCTTATGGACACCCCTGCCGAGGTATATTTGATTCCAATCACCACTCCTTTCGTGGTGCTGGTGTTTTTTGTTTTTTTAATTCATCATCCACACCCCTCAATCTCTATACCAGAGACATAGCACCCAGTCGCCCGTGCGTCCCTTTTTCCACATTCGATCTGTGAGTGTCTTTTGGGATGAATGGTCCCACCGTTTTCCTCCATGCATGGGCTACTTACATGGACCCCAGGTCAACCACCCCAATGGATAGGTGTATATACGACTATATACGGATATGTAATCTATAGACAAATATGCCATGTGTTGGGCATGGAGTCGGGCTAACCCAATTCCTCTTGCCCTTCGGAAACGAAATAAACATTGCATGGCCACGGCGCATTGGAGTGACCACTGATCTGACGCTTCCAATCTGCGATCGCCGGGAGCAGATCAGGTCCTCAACGAGAAGACGAGCAGATCAGGTCCTCATTGCCAAAGACAGAGATGGTCTGAAATGGGTGGTACTGACGATCATCATCACCCAATCACTCCATAAATCAAATGGAAAGGCCGATGAGGCCAGGGGGGTCGTAGATCGATTTTTCCAGTGTCCAGTCTCGGTTGTGGCGAACGGGATCGAAAGCCTTGGAAAGGATGACCCGGAGTCCCTTGCGCCTCGTCCGTGCTTCTCGATCCAATTGAATGGTATATAGGTGTTGGTATTGGCGAAGGTATACGTCACGGCGAATGAAAAGCACCTCACAAGCCACAACGCCCCTAAAGAGGAACCACTGTGGGTTAACATTGAATATTCACTACGGTTTTTCCTTCGGACAGTGCATCCCCACGATGTTCCACAATTAACATATGGGTGTGTTTAAAAATAGGGTTAGGTTCGGATCCTAGACCAGTCTCCCCATCCAAAAGCGAGAAGGGGTGTCTCCCTATTACACACCCCGATAGGGATTCCACCCAGAACATCCCTATTTCACCTGGAAGATCCCTACCGCTCCTGCCCCGGGTCGTGGTAAACTCTTCGAGGTCGATGGCGGCTGGACGGGCAAGAAGGCCCGTGACACGGGCCGGTGCCCTGGACCAGCGCGGGCTAAGCGGTGAGGTGAGGTGACCAAAAAGGCCCTGGTCCGCCTTTCGTTCGACTATTTAGGTCAGAGTTTGGTACAAAGGGGATCTTCCATACGTGGATGGTCTGGGTTGTATGTTATATGGTTGACAAAGCTCAGTTGATGATTTTGAGTCCGGATGCACAGTTAGACTGGAGAGACCCTCGAGTTGTTCCCTGCTATATAAATCATGGTTAGTTTGGGGAGGTTCCAACATTTTGTCCAAAAAACAGTAGTACTACTGAAATCTACTGAACCATGCATTTGGGCCTGAGTGTTTTGTCTTTGGAACGCTTGAAAGCTAGTGACTGGTAACACAAAACTTGCACCCATCTCCACTAAAGTCACTATTTTTCCACTTCATGTTCCCCCAAACGTCTCCCAACATGTCAACACCTCCTGAATCGCGGTGGTCCGAATCCCAAACCTGTTATTCCATTGCTGCATGACGATTTAGAGGCCACACTCCAGCCACTGCAACGATCGAACCATAAAGGGTCGGTTTCGATAGAATAGCAGCAGTCCAACCTTTCGCCTCTACTGACTAAATAAATTGATCCATTTAAAGATCGTGGCACGGCTTCCAATACATGTTTGAGTGAGGATCTAATCTAGGGATCTACTTGTCTATATATCTATCGAATTGGGGGTCTACGGCCTATAAAATCTAAACTTTGAACACTCCCTCCTTCGTGGCAGAGATTTGAGTGATCCGAATCGTGACTCAACCCGAAGGACCCGGGGTGACGGAGGGGCCGACCGAAGCCAGAGATTTGGTCCAATCCAGTTAAGAAATTCACCAGCCAAGGGCCAAGGATTCAAAGATGATGTATATAAACTATAACCTTCAGTGGCGAAGTAGAGGATCCCTGGTGAACCCAAAAATAGAGCTAGACACCTTGGATTTGGTCTTGACTGTTACTGCATAAACTTAAACCCTGTTACTTGCAACATGTCGAACAGTCGACATTAGCATGTCTCATACCTCTCCTGGGGTCCACCAGAGGTGTCAGGCAAACAACGGACCAAGAACCCTCCAACTCACTGACATGGAACTGGAAAATGGACCCTGGCAAGACTACTTTTATACATCTTTACCCTCTCTCCAACAAACATGGAAGGGACCCCTGTTTGTCAAGGAACATTGTCTTGCATGCAGTGGTCATGTTTTATGATTGTGGGAGTTGTGTTGTTTTCAGATCCCGACGAAAGGCCAGCCGCTCATGTGAAAACGCACGCGGGCGCCCGCGCGCGCGTGCGCTGCGCATGACGGCTCGCCCCGGGCCGTCGTCGCGGCTGCTCTTGCGGCCCATGGCATAGGTGTGAGTATCCGCAGAGTTCGATAAATGGCCTGCACCGCGGTGTTTTTCTGGATGGTCACCATTTCAAGCGGGACTGCATGGACTTACAACATTGTAAATCGATGTCAACTGAGATCAACTCAGGAACTAAAATTAAGTGAGTCTTAGCACTGGTTGAAAAATTCATTCCGATTCATTCCCGTAAAATAGACATCTGGGGACCGGACTTGGAAACACAGGAAACACCTAGTCGGGTGCTGGTGGCTGGTACTTGGGACATGTGTTCCTCTTCATACGGCAGTGGACAACTAGAACCCAACACCCAGTTTCGAGGTCGACCATCCCTGAACGCTGATGAACAATGGGACCCTGGTACGACCCAGTCGAAGGTTTCCGTCTTGGGCTAGCCGGATGCTCCCAACTCTTCTGCTGATGACGATGATCCATGATGATGCATGTGGCCGACGGCATAAGCCGTGTGTGAAAGTTTTCCGAAACAAGAGTCGGGCGGTGTCCGAAACAGGTGGTTTGGTGATTGGCGGAACTGGCGAAACTAAAGAGTTTTGGGACCTCCACAAAAGCAAAGCACCTTTCGGCACACATCATAACATGTTTCAGGATTATCACTATTGTTGAATCCTGTTGATCAACAACAACAACAACAACAACACCAACACAACACAACACACACAAAGCGCACACAAAAACAAACAAAAAAACAAACAAAAAACAAACAAACAAACACAAACAAACACAAACAAACAAACAAACAAACAAGCAAACACGCAACACAACACAACACAAAACGAAACAAAACAAACTAATAAAACATATCACAAATAACCCTCATCGTCGTCATCGTCGTCCTCCTCCTCCTCTTCCTCCTCCTCCACATCATCATCGTCATCATCATCATCATCATCACCTTCTTTTCTTCTTCTTCTTCTTCTTCCAAACGCGCACCGTCAACGATGCAGGCGTGGACCCTCGCTTGGAGTTCGCCCAGAGCCCCGTAGGGCCTCAACCGAAAGCAACATGGAGCAGCCTCGCCAGAGTGGTTTCTTTGGCCTTCAAAGGCTGGTTTGTGCGGAGGCATGATGAGCATGATAGCACATTGCATGAAGCACGGGCATTTGTGAGAATCGTGATTCTCACCGAGCTGCAGCCTCTGGTAGGGCTGACATGCGTACCACCTTGTCGGTGGTGCCATGGAGACAACTTGCGGAGCGTGCTGGCATCAGCAAGCCTCTCAGAAGACATCCAGAGATCATGAGGAGCTTGATAGAGGTGTTTGGCCAGATCTCTAAGCCAAGTGCCACATAGCACACACTTCTTCATCTGACGCCAACAGGGAAGTGCGGAGCTTCATCTTCTTCCTTGGTGATCACTTCAGCTCCTCCATGTACAGCGGCCAGATCAAGCAGACATTGGCATAGACGATCGAGGGAAGGTGAACAAACCGTTGAGGTTCTTTGTCATCATCACCAGTGCCTACCCTCGTGGATGGCAGTGCAGTAGTGGCAGCTGTTGGCATCCTTGCCCAGGTGGTAGGGGATGTTGTCCAAGTCCATGGAGTCCGAGACAAAGTGCGGGAGTCAGACCTCGGTGTCCCAGGTTACATAGATCAGCCGGGCCCAAGAGTGCATGAAGTCCAAACGAGGCCATACTCCATGAGGTCAAGAGGCTCTGGAGGTCTACGCTAGTCGGGCTTTTGTCTCCGCAAACATACGGGTGAAGAGGACACCCGTGATGTAATGTATGCAGGTAGGGCACGAATCTTCAGAGGCAGCGAGATGTGAAAGCGCAACCTCCGGCAAGCCGATGCAGCAATGATCAGCCATTTCAGCTCGATGGCGGAGCCTGTGTTGGTGCTGGAACACTGCCTTGCAATCCAAGACCTGGTGTGATTATTCCTTCATTGCCCCGGAAAGCTCCCAACCCAGGTTGTAGAGGGATCCCAGCAATCTGCAACCAGCTCGAGCTCACGACGCAGCACCTCAACGACTCTATCATTGATCATCCAACTCACAGCATGCGTCTCGAGGGAGAAATTGTATCTGCACCACACCATTACTTCTGCTCAACGTTGACGGAAAGAATGTGAGCAGACAGAATCCATCCATCAGCAAGTGCCCGCGTCTTACCATCTTGGCATGATTCTCACTCAAGCCAAGCGCAAATGTTCTCCTCAACTTGGGCACATCGGCATCTTTTTCACCTGATGTAGTCAGCGTTGTGAAGTAGGCCCTGCAGATCCATCTTCTGCAAACAATATCGCCAGCTTTGCCACTGTGTGACCTTGATAGCGCCCAAAGTGGATGATTTCTTGGGTCGGCATTTCTTCATCATCTTGAAGATCTGGCACTGGCACCTGGAAGTAGCGAGGATCCTCTTTCATCATTTCAGACGCTATCGTTCTTGCTGCCCCGCCTTTCTCCACCATTTTGAGATCTTTCAACTGCGCCAACATCTCGACGAGCACATCACATCCAGTTTTTCCCTCAGCATCTCGCCATTCGGAGGACGCTGGCGTTGCAGTGCCAGGTGGAGCGGCAATTGTCGCTGCTTCAGATGTTTCGACGGCAGTCAACAGACTCTTGAGCCTCAAGATCGCTTCATCTCCCTCATCCCCAGCAACATCGACGGTTGTATCAGACTGTCGCCTGAGCCTTGCCAGGAATTGCATCATCACCACATCTGGCTCGCGTTTTCTGCCGTCTGGCTGCAGATTGATGCCAAGCCTGTCTATGCATGAGTCCGTGTTTACACAGTTCACCGAACATGATGTAGCCTTCGCGTGACGTTTGAAGGGAGAGTGAGTTCTCCAGCATTACTGCGTGCCCAGTGTAGCCAGCCTTGTATACATCCGACTTATGCCTTATCATCATCATCATCATCATCATCATCATCATCATCATCATCGTCATCGTCATCGTCATCGTCATCGTCATCGTCATCGTCATCGTCATCGTCATCGTCATCGTCATCCTCCTCCTCCTCCTCCTCGTCATCATCATGATCATCGGCATCGGCATCGACATCCTCATCAGGTGTGGCGGGAGTGTCCAACCTTTGCCCGTTGCAGCATAAAATTACCGTACCAGGACCCCCAACAGGTGTTGTTTTGTTGCTAGCAGGTGGTTTCTGGGCACTGGACTTGTCACCAGGAAACACATGTAGAGTCGGGTATAGGTCCATAGAGTCGGTGCATCCTCACCTTCAGCGGTTTCGGGAAGAAGTGAAAACTCCTCACGAACGAAGAAGACGGAAAACAAGACAAGGCAGCATGAGTTGTTGTTTTCTTTGGTTTAATGGGGGAATCCTCATCGCTCCCAACTCCTCATCGCTCCCTCCAGTTTTTCTTCACCTCCGAGTTTCAGGTCATTGACATAGCCTCACAGGGTGAACATGGGTGTTTCACCCCCCATGTCGAAGCACACGGGTTTCACCACACCGAAACCTGCCGTAACTTCATGAACCCATCTGGAGGGACTCGCATCAATCAGTTTCTCACTTCTCTCAGACGAGAGCTGGGCGTTCGCCTTCCGCCCATCCACGGAATGGTACAGGTTCGATCCTGAACAGTCGCAGTTTCTGGGTGCCTTCAGTAAAGGAATGAGGGAATGGATTCGATATATGTCAATTGGATCCAGAGGATTCTCTCTTGGGAATTCATTCCCGGATTTTCCGAAGGTCTACGCACCAGTCATGATTGTTTTTTTCTTCTGTGGATGGGAAACCCGCACGACTTTTGGACCCTCACAATTGCTAATCAGGTCCCAATGGCTTGATAAACCCATCACCCCCAAACAACCTTGGAACACACTTTGCAGTGATGTGTGTTCTTTGCCACACCCACCTTGTATAGTGTCATATAGTGTTTGACCGATATAACATATAGTTATAAATATATATTTTTTATATATATATATATATTCATCTTTTAGACTGCAATCTCTCAAATGACTCCCCCGTCCGAAACAATTCGGTCACGGACTTGCGGCGGGAACTTGCACACTCTTCCCCGAACTGGGGCTTCACCCAACATCCAAATCACCCTAGTCAGTCAGCCTCCCCCCCAAACAATCCTGTCCGGGGCCAACCCTTCGGCGGTCCGCCGGTTTCGCCAGGAGGCAATCCCCAAGTCGTCGGATGAGATCGAAGAAATCGTCTCCTGCGGTCTCCGCGTACCCGTGCAGATCGAAGAAATCGACGCCCCGGACGGGTCGGGCAGAATCGCGAGTCGGATGCACGGCAGGTGAGGCTTCAGTTTGTAGCGATGAGGCCAGTGGCCAGTGGCTGGTGGGATAAATGTGTAATTTTGTTTGGGAGGCGGAATGCAGATTGAAGCACTCATTCTCTTGACAATTCGTCTGGGCGTGGGTTAACACCTTGTACTCCATGGGATCCTTTTTCACTCTTCACATGGCAAGCCAGGCTTGGACCGGCTTGCAAGAAGTTTCAATATAGATGGCATGAGCTCCCCAAAGTCATGGTGGTTTATAGGGACCCCAAGATGGGTTCACTGTAATTAATCCTCTGTCAGGCTGGTGGTGATTGAACTCTCTCTTGGTGGATCTCAGGAACATTGTTCTTGGGAACCCAATGCAGCTGCTCCCATATTCCGAACACTCCATGTGTGGAATATTTACCCACATTGACTCCTGAAACCACCCAAGGTTCTGTGTCCCAGGCCGAGATTTCACGTGGAACGTGTGCCCAAACCAGACATCCTCCACGTCCATCATTGGCCTTTCGTCCTTTGCTTCAACCCCCTGATAGCATCTCTCAGGTTAGAAAAAGAACTGGTATCCTTCCTTCCACTGGCATCCTCCTTAGGCACCACCGAGTATCGTAGTGATCAACACATCGGGGAATTGCTTGGAGGAATGTGAGGAATCATGAGGAATCCAATAAGCTCTTGGGAACAACCTGGTTCCAGATTCAATTAGAGATGCAGGACCCTCTCGTGCTATCCAAGATCGGTTGGCTTTAGCAACGCGCCCCAAGGGCAGGGCGCTTGTTGTTCGGCACACGCGCGCCGATCGGAACACTTGGAGGGGGGAAGACTAGAACTTCGGTCACGCGCGCAGGCTGACCAGCTTCCCCATCCGCACCACCCCCAGCGATTCTTGAGTGGTCCTCTCCTAAGCACTTCATGGGACTGGCATCTTGACCGAGAAATGGTCAGTGACGGCACGGGTTTTCAGGATCAACGACGTAGACACACACATACACATACTCCCTAGGCCTGGGTCATGGTGGTTATGTGGATGGCGACCCCGAAAGGATGATCATGTGATTTCTTTTGTTTCCACTTCCATGATGATTTCAGGGAGTGTATATGTACCCTAGGTATCCAAGTACCTTCTCAGAAGGTACTTGGACCCTCCAAACCTACATAACAGTGTCTCCAATCATCTTCTGACAAGGTACTTGGATCCCTAGGTATATATATATACCATACATGGAGACTATGGACTGGGATCCGACCCCACAAAAAAGAGCTCCCAAAATTCGCCCCGAGCGCCCGAGCTGATGGTTCCGTTGGAACGGAGCGACCGTGGGGAAGCCACGGGGCCCCCAAAAGAAGGTGAAAGATTATCCACTTTTCCTGTGTAATGTAGACTCTTGAGGACCATAAACCACCCATATGAAGAGGACTTGTAATTCAAATGGAGGGGTTATTAATCAAGAGTCTACATTAGGACGTGGCATGACATCACTTGGCACCCTGCTTTGCCACACCCAGCACTGGTGGAGCCGCAGCATCTGACGCTCCTCCATGAGAGTCTCGCATCATGGCAAACTGTCGGACCACTACGCTGTGACCGATACGAGCTATCTGTCTGATTTGGCCTTTGATTCCAATTGCACACTTAACAAACCACTTGGAGGGATGTTGCATGTCGGGGTGCGATCCATGGAGGAAGTCGGGGTTCCCATTATCCACTCACTTAGGCTCAACACCACCCCTTTATGACTCCTGATTCAAATAGCATCACTGTGATAGCCGAGTAGCCTCCTTCGATTCCAGACACCTCCCTCCATCACATGTTCTTGCCAAGCTGTCAGGGTTGGGGAACTCCCTTTAGGTCGCTCCAAGTGACCCCGGCTACCTGATTGGTCTGGCTAGTGAATACACCTGCCTCCAACTTGCTGCCTCCACCAGTGCCTGCGAGTACCTATATGCTGAGCCAAAATGTCCGCCACAAACCCTGGAGTCAACGGCCAGCAAGTCCCATGGTGCTACTTGGCTGTGGGTCAAAATCAGTGCTTGGTTGAGGTATACCTGGAAGGTGAAGCTGCATGGTGGACCAGAACTCCAAAGTTTTTGCCCACTTAATTAGATTATTCTTTGCAGAAGTTCATCTTTTCATGGAACCACGATGCATAATGCTGCACACAAATGCCACATCGGATTGGCCGGTGCATCCAAAGCCAAATGCAGCTATACCTTGTCATCGGCTTGGCCAGTGCGTTACATTTTGTGCCATTCAGCGGCTGCCATGTGTGTGGGGTGGACACATCCGACCCATAAGTTGGGGTGGTTATATATCAGGACCCTCCAACAGGTGCTGTTTTGGGACCCCTAACAGGTGGTTTGTGGGCACCGGACTTGTCACCAGGGTAGAGTCGGGTGCTGGTATGCAAATATGCCATCATATTATGCCATACATCATATCTGGGAGGGTTTCTTCCAGGGGTCCGCGTTTTGTTTTTTGAGGATGGCAGAACCCCCTGACGTGAACACCACCTGGCTGCGGCTTCCGCACTTGGTCTTGGTCTGGACCACAAGCATCAAACAACATGTAAATTCTTTCATATTTGATGCTTCTATGCTTGGTTGTGGGATCGTAACAAATTTTCAGATATGTTGGTAGTTGTATATTTATCATATATTCAACCGTCTACATTGCTGGGGATCTCTCGTCTGAACTTGTCATCCACTTTTTGTTTAACGTGATAAAGCTGGAGAGGGTCCGGTCCAAAGCATTGTACGACGTGACCCCCTGGAGAGCAAAACTGGTAATTGTGTTGGTTCAAAGAGCTTATGTGATTGGTTTCACTCTTCGCCCATGATCAAGATTATTCGCCCAATGATCAGATTTGGCATTATAACTCCAACATACCTACAACGACAGTATGAACAAGAGCATTGAAAAAACACATCGTTAAAATGTAAAAATAATATGTTGTTTGTTTGTATATGTATGTATACATATATCTATTGTGATCCCCATAAATAGATAGAAACGGTTGCCAATACATATTGAAAGGGATTATACTTTACAAAAGTGTCTAAAACAGAGTACATGGCCATCGCAATTTATCGAGGAAAGCAGAACGAGAACCAACCAACACAAGTCGCTTGCATTTGAAAAAAGCTAAAAAAAAATGGGCATGCCAGAGGTACTTCCATGGGAAAGCAAACTGATTCACCCATGTTCAGGTCACTGAAACCTTGCTCCAAGGGTCCGTGAGCGTGCAGTCCAGCTGATGCCTTCGGCGTTCCCCCAGGGCCTGAGCGATCAAATGAGTGAACCTCCAATGAGTGAACCTCCATGCAGAAACCCGCTTTATCGTTAATACTGCTTTGGAAGGAACCTACAAGGATGATTGGACACTATAAATACTTTTTTGTTTGACATGCATCATGTTTGATGATTACCTCTAAAAAAGAACACC